TTATAACCGAACAATCAATGGAATAATAATGTGGAGGAAATGATAAGCATACAATAACTATATATATATATATATACACATATATATATATAATATATATAGATGCTCACAAACGCAATCATATACATAATTATACAGGAATCATTAAACATGGCGAAAATTTTAAATGGAATAGTGAAATGATAGTGAAATAATAAATAGTCGTAAAATAATAATAACAACGACGATACTTCTAACAACTAAACAACTTCGTAACAAAGTAGTTGAAAACATTTACATACTCGCGTACACGCCGCCTAGAATGATTACATACCTTCTCTCACTCCTACATAAGAAATTACGTAAATGGATTGAGGTGTACAGAATTTAGACCTACAGACGTATGCCTAGCTGTACACCTCACTATACACTACAACCGTAATTTAGAAATAATTACGAGAAAAACGAAGCCCCCTCGTCGTCATCAACTTGCACCCCTCCCTCTCCCGAGTCACCGTCCAGATTTATCTTCCCGACGGACAGGATGTGGATCTTTTTCTCCCTTTCGGGAGCCTTAATGACTCTGATGGTGTTCGTAAATCCTGCACCTGATCGCCAACCCGTGACCAAAATTGTGGCCACACCCGGCTTCAGGAATCCACGTCTGAATGCTGCTTCCATCGCGTAGGAGATCCTGGCGTCCATGTCCTCCGCCCAATCGTGCAACTTCGGCTCTCTGTCGTGTCAAATTATAATCAGAAGTGAATTGAATGGGTGGTCTCATTTACAAATGAGTTCAATAGATTTGGTAAAATAAAATTCCGACAGGATGTTTGAATTAATTTTCTTACTAAATCATTTACCGATTTTTAACAAGCTTTTAAATCATAAATAAATAATAAACATATTCCTTGAACATGCAATGCACAAACTCAAAAACACAGACACATACACACACGCACATACTTGTAATGTAGAGGAATGATTCCTCTGTAGAGGTGCAACTGTCTGGATATCTGCTCATTCCTTGTGACTGCCAGGATTGGACAACGAGGTCTGTATGCTGCCATCAATTGAGCCGATCTACCTGTATATGTGTGTGTGTGTGTGTGTGTGAGTGCTTTAAGTCAATCAAACAATCATTCATTAATTTATTTATCTATCATTTATTTTATCTTTTATTAAATTTTCTCTATTCATCATCCAATCATAAAAAATTTGGAGAATTCAGGAATGATAGGCTGCATGAGTGCCAACTACAACGGCGGGACGGCGGACACACGCGCACCGGTAGTAGTGATAGTGATGATGGCGCCGGCAAGGCAGTTGATTGAAGCTTCGACAGCAGCCAGTGCAGTGGTATGAGTGACATCTGTTGGGCGGGGCGTCAAGAGTCGAAGCTCTTCGAACAACTGCTTGTGGTACACTGCTGACTCCGCCTCCCTAGCTATCTTGTGCATCACCTCAACTGCCTGGTTACGGGAAAAATTATAACACATTTTTTTATCACCAACTGTAATAGTCTGGATGAGAAGACAGTATCAGTGAATTCTACAAACCATTTCAAAGCGAGACTAGCTAGAGAAAGATTTTAGAGTAGATTTTACAGATAAGGAGTCTTATTGCTCCTATAAAAATTCCTGTTTTGCAAAGACTAATTTTTTTTATAAATCACAAAGCATCTCGCTCAGTTAACCTGCAGAGGGTACTCCCCTTTGGCAGTTTCCCCTGATAACATGATGCAGTCAGCCCCATCAAGGACAGCGTTTGCCACATCACTACTCTCTGCTCTGGTAGGTCGAGGTTTTTTGATCATACTCTCCAACATCTGTGTCGCGCATATCACTGGTTTACCTGCTCTGTTGCATCTAGAGGCGTGAAAAATTCGTGAGAAATAGAATTAGTAATATGAGTGAGAGGTTGAGATAACGAAACAAACTAATTTTACCCATCAAAACAACGAACAAATCAGACATAAAATGATTTGAAGACCAAGAAACTATGAAATGATGAAGTAACCACACATAGAAAACCTTCCAATCATCATTTTCTGGGCCAGAAAGACTTTTTCAGTCGGAATTTCAATGCCTAGGTCTCCTCTAGCAACCATGATGCCATCTGCTGCCTCAAGTATCTCGTCAAATCTCTTCACTCCCTCGTGGTTCTCGATCTTTGCTATGATCTTTATGTGAGCACCTTCTGTTCCCAGTACCTTTTTGTTGGAGGGGCCAATTTGAAATTTGAAAAAGCACGCCATTTTGTTTAAAACTTTCTTGCACATGTATTTGCATCAACACAAACGCTGAGTTTAAAATTTATAATAACTTTCTCAATGACAGTGACGAATGTACAGTAAAATGAAAGAGAATTTTAATGGAATAAGTAAAACAGAAACCAACAGAATAGAACACACCACCATCACCACAAGAAGAACAACTCATTGAACCAACTAACCTCTCTAAGAATTCTCACCCCATCACCAGATCTGATAAACGAAGCGAATATCATATCAACACCGTTGGCAACACCAAATCTCAGATCCTCCTTATCTCTTTCAGACACGACGGGCAAGTCGACTGGGGTATTTGGCAGGTTGCAACCCTTCTTGCTCCCCACAAAGCCCCCATTCTCTATGACACACTTCAAGTGGTCAATCCCTTTAGACTCCACCTAACAATTTTCAATATGTCGTTGTTTAGGTTATTGCTGTTTAGATTTATTAATGGTTTTAATGAACTAAAATGACCATAAGTAACAGTAGTATATAGTTCATTTTTTAGACATTATTATAAATAATAATGACATGGATAATTTTGAATTGTAACCTTAACTGAGACCAATCCGTCGTCAATGTAGATACTTTTCCCGATGTCCACAACGTTAATAATGTTCTTATAGTCTACCCAGATGATGTTCTCGTCACATTTCTCTTTATACTCGTCATTTGTAGTGATCGTTATCTCCTTTCCTAAAATATAAAACCAAATAACGCAACCAAATTTAGAAATTTCAATCAAAAGAATTATATTCTACGCTAAATTTAAATCAAATTCTTACATTACTTCTAAGATGGCTGTCACTTAAAAAAACTATTTATGTTTAAAAAAATTTGAGCCACATCTAACCAGTTTTAAGTTCAATCTCTTCATTGACACCGCCTTTCAAAATTCCAGTTCTAATTTCAGGGCCCTTAGTGTCCAGGGCAATAGCAACTGGTCGAGTTCCTTGGGAAGCAGCTTCTCGAATATTTTCTATGGAGCCCAGATGGTACTCATAAGTACCATGACTAAATAAGATTGAAAAATGAAAAAGCATTACATTATGATTATACAATATCAAAATAATTTATTTGATTATTCCATGAGATATTTTTAATAATGTTGAAATTTGAAAATAAGAAAAGCTTTATTGAGATAATTGAAATAGCTACAAGATAAGAGTGATGAAGAAGAAAAAATGTTAAACCTGAAGTTCAATCTAGCAATGTTCATTCCAGCCCTAATCATCTGTTTCAGCATATCAACTGATCTGCAGGATGGGCCTATGGTGCATATAATGCCTGACATTCTGTGCACACCGGGCGGAGAATCTATGTCCAATTCACATAACGACTCCAAATGTGTTCCTGTAAAATTATAATGAATAACCAATTATATTATTAATTCAGTTATTGTTATTGAATAAGTTATTCCTTAAATATAAATACTATTTTGAATAAACCTTTGTATGCTGCTACTCTATTTCAATTTGCCATTTGGCTTTTTTTGAATTAAATTACAGATTACACTACAGTACAGTACATTACATTACTCTACAATTACTTTTAAAAAGTAATACAATAAAATACAAATTGCCAGCAACGAACCAGCATAAGCAGAGACCAACTGCTGTTCATAAGAGCCCTCCGTTGTGAAGGTCATTCCGCTGGTCCAGCTGGGGATGTGAGCCATGCCACCACCAATAGTCGGAACTGTCAACTGCTGCATTTCTCAAAATATCCTCAAAACGAATTTCAATATAAAAATAAGAAACAAAATACAATATGAATATGATTAGATTTCAATATTTTTAATTTTTAGGTGAGTTAGTATTAGTAGTAGAGATTAGTTAGAATATCTAAATATTAAAAATAAAAAGTTTGATTGTTTCAGTTAGTGTTTTTTGATCCTATTTTAAAAGTTGAACTTTAGGGTTCAAAAATCTAAAGTCGCACGAAAATCAGGATCATTTGCTACGCAACGAGACGAAACGTATCCGCATTCGCTACTACGTACGAAATTATTATTCCCTAATTTTAATTTATACTTCGACAAATGCCAAGGTCCATTGTGACCAATCTCATAAGGTGATTAAAAGTGAATTTTAGTTATTAAACCTCAAATAAAAAAAAGCGTATCGACCATGAATGGTACCGACCCGCCTTGGCATACAAAGAAAACCTTCAATTTTTATATATCATTATATTTTAACTATTTTACAAGTTTTATTATATATATATATTATATATATATTTATTTATATATATATAATAAAAAATACATTTATATTATATATACATAGGTGAAAAAAGTAAAATAACATTTACACAAGTTTAAAAACTATAATTAACATCATGAACACAAAATGACCAGAATTAAAAGAGAAATCAACTAAGTAATCATTGTAAAAAAAAAAGTTCATATAGGTATATGTAGTACGTATGTGTTGTGTGTGTGTGCGCGCGCGTGTGTGCGCGCGTGTGTGTGTCGCTAGATCATCAAACTATATCACATGATGTAATGTAATATACCATAAACGCATTATATTATATAATAATATTCAACTTACGACGACGAATTTTATTTGAAAAAAAATCTTCAATCACTGCATGCAAAATAGCAATATTACAATACAATCAATATATTATCATTACTTCATTCATTAACTCATTCACTCGCTCATTCATTAATTCACTCATTCATTCACTTACTCATTCATTCACTCACTCACTCAGAGTAAATTATACTAACAGGTAACAAGAAAATTAACCTAAGTCACCAAAATAAACAATGGGGCACCATTTAACGAAAGATAAAATAATAATCTAATTACAACGATTTTTTGACTCAAAATAACTGAAAATACGTATTATCATAATAATATTATATTATAATATATCATAATATTATATATATATATATATATTAATTATATATAATATAATTAACAACAAATTCCAATTGGAAAATCAATGAATGAAAAATTGCGTGAGTGGCTTACGATACTAACTTACGAAATAGTGATACAAGTAAATCTCGCTGGGCCTCATTGACAATAAGATGAAATCTAGAGTAAGTGGGATTTGAAATTACTAAAAGTTCAAATTATACCCTAATTTAATTATAAAAATAATTATTGTTCCTATAATATTATAATTATAATATTATTATATTTATTAGCCAGTAGAGCATAACCGTGTTGACTTATCTGAGTTAATTAACAAACAGACAGACTGACAGACAAACAAATAAAGCAATAAAATATTAATTAATGGATATATTTTAAAATAAATAACAAAAATTACTAAAAATTTATGAATAAATGAACAAAAGTACATCAATTTAAGTAACAAACAAGTTAATTGAAAATAGCAATATAAAATTTCTTGAATATAATCAATAGAACGAGTTAAAGTCATATATTATATTAGTTGCCTGCCCGTCATTTAGCTACTTCAAAAGTGAAAAAATGTAAAAAATTCATTCAAATCATTTTGAAAAATGAATAAACTATTAACTCATTCATTCATTCATTCATTCATTCATTCATTCATTCATTCATTCATTCATTCATTCATTCATTCATTCCTTCCTTCATTCATTCATTCATTCATTCATTCATTCATTCATTCATTCATTCATTCGTTCGTTCGTTCATTCATTCGTTCACTCATTCATTCATCCATTCATTCACTCAAAGATTGCATCTATTAGTAACAATCATTAAGTAGTTTAACGGGCCAACCATTGAAACGAATGAACGAACAAACGGATTGATTTACGAATGAACGAATGAATGAATGAATGAATGAATGAATGAATGAATGAATGAATGAATGAATGAATGAATGAATGAATGAATGAATGAATAAACAAATGAATAAATAAGTTATGAATGAGTGTTTGAATGTATGAATAAACTAGAGATTCTATCACACAATGATGAACGAACGGATCAATCAATCAATCAATCCATAAAATAATATCCTGATTTATCATCGCCAAGCCTCATGTCACCATCATCATTATCGACATCTCCAACTAAGACATTATCATCATTGTCATCGTTGTTATCACTCATGAGATAGAAATCACCATTTGGTAAAACAACATCCTTGAAATCTGTCATTATTTCATCAGCTAGGCTAATAAATTCATTGGAAAAAATATATTTCGCTGGAACTGATTGACTTCTGAATGATGACGTCAAAGATGATGTCGATGATGACGACGACGATGATGGTGGTGTTAGCCTGTTGTCAACAGCTGCAAAACCGCTATGGCCACTGCTTCTAATGGTGTTGCTAGTGTCGAATATCACATTAATGCCATTTGTCTTTTGCTGTTGTTGTTGTTGATGATGTTGTTGTTGATGATGTTGTTGATGTTGATGATGTTGCTGTTGTTGTTGTTGTTGTTGTCGTTGTGGTTGTTGTTCAATCTGTGTTTCGTCATCTTGAAGCCAAGAGCAGTTGAACAAGTTTAAACTATCGATACTGTTTAATGAATTATTGTTGTCTGTGCTGTTGTCACTGATGTAACTATTGTTGTTGTTGTCGTCGTCGTTGTTGTTGTTGTTGTTGTAAGGGATTTCATGGGCTAAATTGTATCTAAATTTTGCGCCAATATTGTTGTTGATACTATTACTGCTGTCTGTTAGAAAATTATTGCAATGATTTCTAAAGCCTTTAAAGTTATTGCCATTCGAGATGACATAACTGACATTACCATTGCTGTTATGAAGACTGTTGTGTTGCTGTGGCTGCTGGTGGTGGAGGTGGTGTTGCTGGTGTGGTGTCAGTGGTGGCGACGCCACAATTGGCGTCTTATTGACATCTTGTGTGACGTCGGAAAAGATTCCTGTTAAGAAATTGAAAAAAAAAATCGATTTATTCACCGTTAAAATAATTATATTAAGAAAGATTTATAAACTGTCATCTTTCTCTTCTCCTACACCACTCAGAAGATAGAATATCAAGAGACTCCTCAAAAACAACAGTACAAAACAAATTTAACATCTCTAACCTTCATCAATGGAGCATCTAAAATTTGCGGGCGTGAACTCATCATCGAAAACGTCATTGTCCCCATCGACGCCAGTGACGTCATCGATCATTGATGACATCACAGTGCTGGGCCTACTTGAAATTAGCGTCAAATTTTTGGCGGCAATTTCGTTTTCAAAACTGCAATCGTCTAGGAAATTTTTATTCTCAATAGAGGCTGATGACGACCTGAAGATTGCAGCTGCTGTTGATGTTGTTGGTGGTGGTTTGAAATGAAGTTGTTGTTGGTGGTGGTGGTTTTTATCCATAAAAATGTGATGGTTCTTGTGGTTTTTGATGTTGTTAAAGTGAATGATGATGTTGCTGTTGTTGTTGGTGTTAATGTCATTACTATTGTTAATGGCATTGTTGCTGTTGATGTTGTTGCTGATGATGTTGTTGTTGATAACTTTAATTTTGGTCGCCTCACTTAGTTGCTGCAACGTGTAATGTTGCGCAAACACGTTGTTGTACGGTGTTGTTGCAACTGATGCGGCAGCAGGTGCAGTTGCCGTCAAATCAAAGGAGGGTCGTCTGTTGAGAGATTTCTTTGCGAGACCCGACTGAACGCTTGTTGTTGCTGTTGTTGTTGACGTCACTGCTGATGTTGTTGCTGTCATTTGATGTTGTTTTGCAACTGTCTTTCTTGTTAATTTCGATGTGATAATGTTTCGAAGACCTCTTTTGCTCATTTTTGCATCACTATTTATGTTATTTGTATTGTTATTCAAGTTAATGTTACTGTTATCTAGGTTGTTATTGTTGTTATTTAAGTTGTTCGTATAATCCTTCATAATGTTTTCCCTATTTGAATTACTCTTGAACCTATCAGTGCTACAACTATTTGAATTGACGTCTGCACCGCTGACATTGACGAAATTGCTGTCATCCTCACCGTTATCATTACTGTTATAATGGTTATAACAATTGTTGTTGTTGTAGTTGGAGTCAAACCATTCAAGTATCTCATTAGGTTTAACTCCATTTGGGAAAGCCACTATTTTATCTTTGTCACTTTTATCATGGAAAGCCGCTGTTTTATCTTTGGAGTCTGGAAGTAAATATTTTAAGAGTTCAGACGACTTTTCAATTTTATTCCCGCGTTTTCTCATCACATTAACATCGCTGCTGGTGAAACTAATAGATTTAGTAGTAGTAGTAGTAGTAGTAATAGTAGTAGAAGTAGTAGGAGTAGTAGTAGTAGTAGTAGTAGCAGCAGAAATAACTTTTGACGTCACGGCATATTCGCCATTATTAAAACTTTTTTTAGTTTGTCTACTTTTAGCGGCAGGGTTAGTTTTCTTGTTAATATTAATATCAAAAGAGGTAATGCCATTTAGAGTGGCTGCTATTTTAGCTGCCCGTTTAGCAGCTGTATCTTTAGCAGCAGCTGTCGTAAAATTTTCATTAAAATTATCAATGTCATTGTTGCTGTTACTGATGTTAAGACAGCTAAGCTTAATGTCATTAATGACGGGATTGTTGATGATGTCTGAATTGTTAATGTTAAATGAAAGATTATTGATAAAATCATTCGCTTTCTTGTCCTCATCTGCCCTTAAAAAACCCTCAAAAACATCAAAGTCACATGATAAATCATTGCTGTTGTCGTTGTTATTGTCGGTGTTATTGTTGTTGTTGATGATGATGTTGCTGCTGCTGTTGCTGCTGGTCTCGTTGTTGATGACACAAAATGCAGATATTGGTGAAATATTGATGCTGTTGTTGATGTTGTTGCTGATGTTGTTGCTGATATTGTTATTGTTGACGTTGTTGTTGTTATTGATGTTTTTAATGTTGCTGATGTTGTTGTTGATGTTGCTGATGTTGTTGTTGATGTTGATGTTGTTTGATGAATGTTTTGTAGCTCTACTTCGGACCATCTTTTTGTTTCCAGGAATATTTTTTACGACTTTAAATCTTCTGTTTATCGTTTCACTACCATTACCATCATCACCACCATTATTATTATTATTATTAGTAGTAGTAGTAATAGTAGTAGTAGCAGCAGCAGCAGCAGTAGCAGTAGAAGTAGTGACGTCACCATTATTGCTGCTAATAAATTTGTTCAAGTCAAATGACGCTGATATTGGAAAAAACGATGATGCATTACCACTTTTATTATTATTATTATTATTGTTGTTGTTGTTGTTACTATTATTATTACTCTTTATATTTCGCACAGTAAAAGCTGACAGATTATTGTTGTTGTTGTTGTTGATGATAAGGCTATCAATGATAATTTTATTCACGCTACCTGCTGTCTGATTGTTACTGTCACTGACGCTACTAAAACCACTAACTGCTGAGGTTGGGGACGGCAACGATGCTGCCATTTGTGTTGTTGTTGTTGCTGTTTTCGGCGTCGCTATTGGCGGAGACGACGATGATACCGATGATTGTCCCGACGACAACGATGATACTATATCAAGAAAGGATGGACCCTCATTGACGAATGATCTCTTCGCGTTATTACCATCGTTATTGGTGTTAATTTTACCAACGATATAACTGTCTTTGTTAATATTATTGTTAGTAGTGTTATTGTTATTATTCCTCATGTCACTAAGTATTTTACAAACCTTCCTATTACCGATGGGCAACTTACTGAAATTATTATTAGTAATATTCTTATTGGCTAACGGCAATGACGTCACAGAGCCTGTAGCGATATAATTGGACGAGTTCTGCGAAGGTTGATTCATGCCCAATAATTTCGAGATAGTGACATTAGAGAAAGGATGCCTAGAATAAGATCTCAGAGGTTTCATCTGAATGAAGTTGCTGGTGTTAGCGTAAGAAGTTTTGTTGTTGATGTCAGTAGGATCGCTGTTGTTAATGCTATTGATGTTAGGAGTGTTTATATTGTTGTTGATGTTACTGAGGGCTGTAAACCCAAGCTGCTGCTGCTGTTGTTGAAGCAACTGCTGTTGTAGTTGTTGGAGATTATGTTTTTGTTGCTGTTGTAGCTGAAGCTGTTGATTATTTTGTACAATGTATTTTTGCTGCTGTTGCTGCTGATGTAGTTGTTGTAGTTGCTGCTGCTGCTGAAGTTGAATCAATTGTTGTTGTTGTTCGGAAGATAAACTAATTAACCCTACAGATATTGCTGGATTGTTGTTACCCTTTTTAAGTGTCACAAATTGCTGGATAGGAGCATTGGGATCGGATGAATGTTTAGCATTCGACCCAAATGGATCCTTAGCTGCACCATTTAAGACCGACTTTATGAATTGGGAACCTTTATTTAACTTTTCAAAAACTGATGATGGTGATGCAGATGATGTGGTTAATTCAACAGCAGCTGGTTTCAAGTTACTTGAGTCGAGTGATTCTTCTTTCAATGGTATTTTGTGAGTATGCACTTGAATAGGCTTCATCTTGTTATCATCACTAGGTTTAGTTGCCAAAATCAACCTGAAGTTGTTTGGAAATGTGTGTGGTTTTTGTGCATTTGCATTTTGTTGTTGTAGTTGTTGCTGTAGTTGTGTTAGTTGTTGCGGTGTTAGTTGTTGCTGTGTTAGTTGCTGCTGTGTTAGTTGCTGCTGTGTTAGTTGTTGTTGTTGTTGTGGCTGTCGTATTGGTTGTAATTGCTGAAGTAATGGTTGTTGTTGCTTAAGTTTTCGTTGTTGTGGTTGCTGAATTTGTTGCTGTTGTTGTTGTTGTACTTGCTGGAACAGTGGTTGTTGAGGTATTTGTTGCTGCTGTATTTTCTGCTGATGTGTTGGTACTTTTTGATGTTTTGGCTGTTGCTGCAGCTGTGGTTGTTGTAGCGGCTGATGTTGTGGTTGTACCGTCTGCAATTGCTGTTGTTGTAACAAAACTTGTTGTAAATGTTGTAACTGCTGTGGCAAAAATATGTTGGATACAGTTGCACTATTCGGAGCGACGGCCAGGAACATGGGAGTCATGTTTGCAGTAGTTCCGTTCTTAACTGGAGTCGATAGCATGAGCAGCATTGGTTGATTGTTTGTCGGGGCTGTCGGATTGCTGCTACCGACGACTGCATCTTCCATTTTCAACATTTTCGGCAGCAGAAACTTATGTTGAGCTGCAGAGGCAGGTCGTTTTAATTGGTTTGATGCTGTTGTTGTCGCTGCCTTAGTTGATTTTGACGAGTCGTCAAATTTTTTAACTTTACAATCAGCCGATGAAAACGAGCGTACTTTTAAACTGGTCCCTTGACATTTCTGCCGACTGCTGTGGTTGTGGTGGGTGCTGTTGCTGTGGCTAGTAGCAGTATTAGTTGTTTTTTGTTGCTGCTGTTGTCGTTGTGGCTGAAACATCATTATTTGTTGAGTTTGATTTAGGCCTTGGTGCACACGTTGATGTGTACATTGTTGCGCACACTGTTGTGTACACTGATGAAATGATGACTCCTGATTGGATGCACGGTTCTTCTGCTTAATCAGCTGGCATTTTTGCACCAGAGTGTCGTGTAATTTCTTCTTGGTTGTTGACAGGTGGCTTGCTTCTGGAGCTGATTTGTAATAAAAGTTACTTAAATACTGGATCATTAGCAAAGTTAAAAAAAGTATGTGAAACAAACATAAATTTTGAAATTTTTCAACTCAAAAAATGCACTCAACTCAAAAAAACTAACCACTGTTCGCTGTGGAAGGTGGCGTGTTGATTTGCTTCTTCATGCTGGACTGCAGCACCAGGAAGTCTTTCGTATTCTCGTCTACTAATTTATTCATAACTAAATACTCGGCTAGGTGGCGATACCTTCGAAAAAATACAATGTTTCCCCATTTAAAATACCATTGTACACCTTTAAAATAGAATCAAATAAACTTAAAAAATATAAAATATACGTAAAATTGTAGAATCCATTCCTTAACCTTATTAAATCTAACAAATATAAGACGAGTACACACTGAGATTTTATGATACAAATTATCTTTAAAGTTCACATTTTAAACTGTAAAAAGTAGGTGAAGCTCAAGAATGCCTAAAAATAAACTTAAATTAAACACCAAAAAAAATGAATAACAAAAAAAATAACAAGTAAATTTCAAGAAGTTTGTCATCATACTTTAAAAATTTGACACTATCGTCAGCTATAATTTTGGCTGCCCAAGATAGGATGACGTTTTTACTGGAAAGTTTGACCACGTGATTCCATTTCATCATCATCTCCACGTCATCATCATCACCATCATCACCACCATCCATGCAGTCATCATCATCTTCGTCGTCGTCGTCATCTTTTTCATCATCGAGATCGTAGTCATTATCACTCATATGGTCATCATCATTGTTGCCGGGCTGGTTATGGTGATGTTTCTCCTAGTAGAAAATAATTAATAATTATAATAACTAATAATGTCCGTTATTAATTAAATAATCAATATAAAAAACGAATAACATCCTTTAAAATAATAATTGATAAATTAAATAATTAACGATTCGACGATTGATCTTAGACATAGAGTAAAAACTTTCGATTACTAGAGGTTAAAATTTGGCATCAGTGACAGAATGTTAGAATGATAATTGTATTATGAATCAGTTTAAACAAACTAACAACAAGCAAATAAACATACACTTATAGAAAAAAAAACGCATACATATATGAGAAGACACGTAACGATCTGATAACTTGGATCGAATTCAACAAAATATCTATACACGTGTGTACGTCTGTGTGTTTGTTCGTGTGTGCGTGCGAGGTGTTTTTCTATGTGTGCATGTGCATGTGAAAGTCGTAATGTCTGGTTATGTTATAATCCAAAAATAATTTTAATAATTAATGAAGTCAATTATAAATAAAAATAAATTAATGAAGTAACAGAGAAAATTTTCTTACAGGCTTATTTCCATTAGCTTTCTTATCATTACTACAATAATTATTATTAACATTGTTATTAATGCTATTAACGCCATCACTTAGACTGTTTTTAGAGCAGTAAATGGTTTGGCTTTCATGAATATTGGTGTCATTGATGTCCTTTTTATTGCTGTCGTTGTTATTGTTGTTGTAGTTGTTGCTGTTATTGTTATTGTTGCTGTAGTTGTTGTTGCTGATGTTTTTATCTTCCGTCTCGTTGCCATTCACAGCACTCTGGGATCTCTTTCCACGTCTAAAAATAGATAAGTCAGGCGGTCCGAAATCCAAAATAGTCTCTCGATACCTTATTCCGAAGTATGTCGGTCTGCGAGGAGAAAAAAAAATTATGAATTACTCGTTTATTTATTTATTTTTTTAATCATTCATTCATTTAATTAATTAATTATTTATTCATTTAATTAACTATTTATTTATTCATTTAATTAATTAATTAAAATAGCAATAATAACACTGAGCAGTCTCTGGGCCCAGTTCTTCGTGATGGGGGGTTATAAATAGCCTTCAGCCTCTTGCAGAACTCACAGAACGTTACATAACTGTATTCATTTGTGGCACAGAATGTTCTAATTGAAAGGGAAAATAATTACAAATATAATGATATTGATAACGAGAATTAATTATTAATTAATTAGTATAAGGATAAATAACAGTGGAAAAATATATTTATTTTAATATATATTTATTTATTTATTTATTATGTAATAATAATGCTACGGTAGTGGTACTAAAACTACTACTACCACTACAACAAATAATACTACTACTATTGCTGCTACTACTACTATCACTACTACAACAACCACTACTACTACGACTACTACTATTACTACTACGACTACTACGACTACAACAACTACTACTACTACTGCTACTACTACTACTACTACAGCTGCAACTAAAAATAATAATACTATAATATCAGCATTTGAAAAAAATATTAACAAAATAATGAAATAGTATTAATAATAATTGATTGATTGATTGAATGATTGATTGGTTGATCAATTTAACATTAATAAATAATTATAATAATAATTTTGCCTATAATTTTCGTAAATATCTTTCTGAGTAAGATAGCTGTTGGGATGCCTTTCAAGACTGGTCTTCATCCATTGGACAGCCAGGGTCTCTTTTTTGAAAACCTGCAAATTTCTTGGGGACAAACAAAAAATTTTTGCTTAAAAACAAATTTAAATAAAAGTTATACTTTCTACTATAAAAATAAATGAAATAATAATAATGATGACGACAATAGCCACAACAATAATAATAATAATAATCATAATGATAATAAATTATAATAATAATAATGATAATAATAATTACTCTTTAAAATGAGTCAGCGATAATTTTGAAGAAATGATTAGTAATATAGTAAATTGAGTAACTAGTTTTATAAAGTATTGCCAGAATATCAAAATAAACGCCCTCATCATTATTTTATTATAATTATTATTAGTATTATTACTATTATTATTATTGTAAATAATTATCATAATTTAAAAAATTATTATCAATGCTTACTTACTGGAAAATTTTAACTTTTTCTGGCAGTTTCAGATACAGAAGTAATTTCTCTACGCTGCCCAGCTGCCGAATTTCATTCTAAAAAAAATAGAAAACTAGTAATTTTTATTTAAATTTACTTTTGGTTATTATGAATCAAATATGAATAAATATATAGAATGTAAACGATAATTATCATTTTTTTTTACTTTAAGATATCTATGGCAAAAAAGGTGCATTAACAAGGTAGCAATCTACTAATCTAATCTAAATTGAAAGCTATTGAGAATTAGAAAATCAGTCAGTCATTCACACATTCCTTTATTCCTTTATCCATTCATTCATTCACATTCATTCATCTGTTCATTCAAACTTATATTAATTTATTTTGCCACTCAGTTCTTCTTTCATTCATTCATTTATTCACTCAGCCAATCCACCAATCAATAACTAACAGATAACTTTTCAATCTTCTCTTTACTCTCTTTTCTGTAATAACAGACCAAGAAAAATATTTAAACTAAAGTTTCACATTCAAAGATTATATAAATCTATGTATCTATGTATGTATCTATGTATGTGTATCTATGTATGTATCCATGTATTTGTATCTATGTATGTAACTATGTATGTATCCATGTATTTAAAAATTTAATAATTAAAAAGATTTTGAACAAATGATTAGATTTGTTTAAGTATTAAGATCATAAAATTATGACATAACCATTTCATTTTTTTTTAATTTTATCAAACCATCAATTGGAAAGAAAGAAAGAAATTTTAGCACACCTCTAGCTAGTCATCCTACTTATTTCTACAAAAAAGCATACATGCCTAAGTTTGAAATTGATTTGACAGTAAAAAGACAGCACACATATATGATTATACTAGAATTATACTGTAATATAATCATACCATAATTTTATACTATCATAAAACTATCAGTATACAATTCATACATACATACACATAACATACATACATGCATACATACCCTAGTCTACACATACATGCATAATGATGTAATTAAAAATACATACATTTGGTACCTTGTAGTGTATTGTATTTGTTTTTGAGTTGTGTACACTTACTTTTTAGTACTAATATAATATTTATATACAATACACATTGGCCTCTAAAGCAGGCAACCGGCTACCCATGCCAAACATAAATATTGTGACAAAACTCAAGATTGAAAATCTTTTCATTTGAGTACTTCTTGATTAAATTACTACATTTTTATTAATTTATTTTTTAAATTTAATATTTTTTCAACTAAAATGTTAGATTAAATTAAATATTGATCATGTTGCAGTAAGCAGTCAGTATGTCGCTCAGTTGATAATTCACTAACCTATGACTAATTCACAAATTTATTTCAATTAGTGAAATTAATATTAAATTGCCAACCCAATCTCAGACTCTAGGCCGCTGACAAAATGATTCTCAAGCGTTTTCTTGGTCGTCATATTCATCGAAGATGCAAATAAGACATTTTAAAATAAAATTTATTTATCATGAAATAATAAAAAAAAGTATTTTTGATGAAACAATCGCTCAAATTTGACCGATCGATTTAGTCTAAACAAAAATTTACTCTAAACCAAAAAAAATACATAAACAGCTGATAAAGGCAATTTAATTCTATGGTGTTGCACCTTTTAATTTTTTACCACGGGTATAACTTTAAATTTTTACAAGTTCAAAATCACACTTTAGGGTTATTAAATGACAATTAATCGTAACATTTTTTGTAATTTTGCGTACTAATATTATTGATTCATAATTTTATAACGGTCTTAACTTACACTTTTGAAAATATTAGATGAAAGTTAAGTATATAGCTACAAAGATTAACTCTACATCCATAGTGATAACTGACCCGATATAGTTGAACATTTTAATTTAATACGTAGAAACGTTGTTTAGAGCGGATTTGAAAAAGTTTAACAGTATTCTTTAATACTTTTGCTAAGATTTAGACGAATCTTTCTCTCATACATTTTCAAAATTTGTTCATATAAAACCGATTACAACCGCATTCATATTGATAAAATTGATCCGCTCATCTAAGCCTATAATAAAATGAAACAAATAACACAATTATTAAGAAACAATTTTTTACTTCAACACTTCTGAAAAATTGACAAAAAAAACAATTCAAAAAATGTCCAAAGAGTAGTCTCTTTAAATGATCACATCAACACCAATCAACTCTCATAGCCAAAACAATCCCTTTTCTTTCCTTTTAATACATAGATACACACACAGACAAAAACACACGCACACACACACACATATATAAACACATTCGCACGTAAACATCAATAAGCTTCAAAGGCCTGAAAATAAACTTACAATCAATGCTGATACCTACTGCGTGTGTTTGGAAATGATACTTATGATAACATGGCAATAATAATAATATCAATAAGAGTAATAAAAGTTGTTAAAAAATTGGGATTATCTATCAATTTGTAACAGTTGAAACAGAAGAAAAATTAAACAAACACTCTCCCTATACATTCAAAAATGTTGACAACTCTGAACAAGTAGATAGTTATTGATAGATAATTGATTAGTCATTTTGAGTTTTTTTTTCTCTAAATAAAAAAAGAAAAAAAAATTTAATCCCGAAATAAATCAGGAGGATTTGAAAACTCGTCATCACCCAATAATGATGACATCTGATAGTCCAAAGGTGGCATATTTAGATGGTAACAGCCGAAGAGTAACTCTGTAGAATCTATGTTGCCGAGTTCGAGCCCGTTATCATTCAGAGATGAGGACGCAACAAACGTCGGTATGATGCTCTTCTTTGGATTGACATACGACGACTTTTTTCTTTTTTTTGAATTTTTAGCAGCCTCCTGATTAGAACTACATGGGACTACTACCGCTGAAATGTCATGGGAATCATCATCCGAGTCGCCAGTCAAATCAACCATTGCTATTTCTTTTTGTCTATCTGCTTTTGATTTCTGTGTAGTTGCATCACTAACACTACTATCCTTACCAACCGACGAACTGACAATGGTGTCAGATGAATCACCTGACAATGGTGAGTCAGGAACTTCGTAACATACGATGCTTGTGTCCAAGGATCTTCCTTCGTTTTGCTGCTTCTTCACAATAGGCTTCCAATTACCATCTTCTAAGAACTGAATCTCATTTGTATCTTTAACTTTCTGTAGAATTTCAATGAACAATCCATCAATTATCAACGAATCGTATCTTGCTAGTTTGTCACAAATTGGACAGACCCATGTCGGTTTTTTATCATTCATCTGCAAGTAGGTTGATGCATCAAAACACTGCAAATGACTACAATTGCTAGATCTACATGGAAGCACCAAACGTGTCTTGCCTAAAGGGCAAATGAGTGAAATCTTCAAACAAGTGAATGAAATTTCATTATCTATATTGACAGCCAGTTTTTCTTTGATGAGTGCCCTCGTCAGATCAGGATGACGACTGCAATTCTGCTTCAACCTGTTCAACAGAGTCGTGCAGTTGAGCTTCTTACAGAGTGTTATACCAAAACAATGATTATGCACTGGGTCTGATACCCATGTCATGCTCACAAAGTTTGGCTTCAGTGGGTTCAACTCACAGGCATGAGTGATGTCCAATGGTCTGTTTGGACGTTTTGGTTCAATCCCCATATGACTAGGCGTGATGAAGTTAGGCAGAGTGATCAACTTGGTGTTGACATGAACACATAACTTTGGTGGTAGGTTGTCATCTTGTTCAGCTGTTGTTTCCAACAAGCAATACCTCAGTAAAACCTGGACTCCATATTCAATCATGCACTCATCAATCATTATTTGAGAATCTTTTATCTTTTTGGCCTGTTGAGGTGTCAAGAAAAATTCATACTTGGCAAACTTTGGATTATTTTTGCTTCCAAGATTTTTATCTTTCATACCAATTGGCTTCAACAGATCATCACAAAAATCATAAAATGGCAAATGTCTGAACCTAACGTCTGGATAGAAAGGAATATCAAGAGAACCACTGGACGAGCTACTGTTTTCATTACTGCTGCTGCTATTAACTGAATTATTACTACAATTACCAAAAAATGATGCAAATGCAGGTTTATTATTGCTGGATGATTTAGCAAGAGACTTATCTTTGTCGGCTTCGTTAGTTTTTTTTGACTTTTCTAATTCGGTAGCGTGTGTGAAGGTATGGCTGATGGTGGTACCTCCTCTGTCTCGGGCTGATGCTACTGATGAGAGTTTGCTGTTCGCATTCAACGCATTTCTCTTTTTACTCATTTCATTGATTTTTACAGCCAAAGATACAGGACAGCCACAGTCGATGACGTCGTTAAGTCTCTCCAACAACTCCTGCTTCCTGCCAGAACTATTTCTCTTGGCGAAGTTTAGAATTAATTTTAAATCGTTGTGCCGTAGATCTTTTACTAACTTTTTCAACTTTTCTGCGCCGTTCTTGCTCATTATTGATCTTTAGTCAAACTGATCTTTTGACCGATAAATCAACATGATACAACAAAATTTAAATTTTGAAAAAAATTTCATCTATTATTTTCTAAATAACTTTTAAAAACAACGAAAACACAATTTTTTTATTTTAGAAATGGGCCGGCTATTTGACTTCGTTGAATTGTTGGCTTATTGTCTTACGAAATTGCATGTGCAAGCAAGCTATATAAAATGTTTACATGATTTAATATCTTTAAAACATTGAATTATATTATTGAGTTATATAATTCCATGCTTTAAAACAATGTATTATTAAATTATTTTTGATAATTTGAATATATAAATTGCTTTATTTTCGGTGGAATCGTGTGGCTTACTGAAGTCATACTAGGATTGGCTTACTAGGATTGAGCTATAGTCACTCTATTTTTACCCTTCGATCATGTTAAACTTTTGTTTGCTTATGGAATAAACAACGTATATAGATCACAATTGTTATTTAAACAACTATCTTCATTATGTTCAATTAATATTTTACATTCTAAGTGCTCATAGAAATTGTTCGCTGAAATCATACGTTGGCTTACTGCAGTTGCTAACCGGGTCTCATGCAACTATATGATAGCAATTTTTTGTACATATATTGTTTTAAATAAATCAATATATTTATATCACAATTATTTTTGTTAATATAAATATAGAAATTGCTTTTTGTCGGTGAAATACAGTGGCTTACTGAAGCAATTTGTTGACATACTAGGATTGAACTATAGTCACTCTTTTTTGCATATACACAGTACCATGAAATACTGTTTAATACTGTACTATCAATAAACTAGCCAACCAATCAACCAATCAATCAACCAATCAAATCAACCAAATACACAACCAATAAATTCGAATGTTTAATCAACCACCCATCCATCCAAACATTTATTAAACACTTGATTGATTGAAAGCAGCAAACCAACCAACCGCGCAATAAATCATTCAATCAACAACTCAAAAGATGTATATGCGTTCCTCTCAAGTTTCTTTAGTTCAAAACCAAAATTTTTGTTTGTTTTATGCATGATAGATATCTGTATGTATAGATATCTGTATGTATATATATATATATATATATATATATATATACGGATACAGATATATATAAATATAATAAATTATAAATATATATATATTTATATAAGTATATATATATATATATACGTATGGTATGAACAAACTAATAAAGCTTTATATATAGGCTACCCGCTTGCATTGTATGTACAATGTACATTGTTAGTTATATAATACACATTTTATATTTGAGTTACATCAATTGCTATCTTTAGAGTTAAATATATAAGCATGGATATATATTAGTTATATAATACACATTTTATATTTGAGTTACATCAATTGCTATCTTTAGAGTTAAATATATAAGCATGGATATATATATATATATATATATATGTGTGTGTGTGTGTAAGCATACATATGCAAAGACTCATGAAAAGAGTATGATGATATAAAGATATATATATATATATATATATATATATATATATATATATAGGTATATATACGCATACCCGCTTGCATTGTTAAATAACAATAAATAGTTATCTTATACTGTTCATATTTTATTTAGCGATTGCGTTACTTGTGTTGTGTCAGATACAGATTTTTAAATAATATCTTAAATTGAATCAGAAATGCCCCAAATGAACCAGTTATTAGAAATGTACCCGTTTGATACGGTGACAACTTTGTCAATTGTGATGATCCTAGCTGCAGTTTTAACGTTCGTAGGCCAGCAGTTTCAGACGGCTTGCTACGGTCGCTATGCCTTGCATTCAAAATTTTCATTAAAATTAAACCCAAAATTGTCTTGGTTTGTTCAAGAGTCGCCGGCATTTTTCCTCCCGGTGTATTTTATATTAGATCATTTATTTTTAAATCAATTTGGCATCAAATCAAATCAGGTCAAATTCACAAATCTTTTTCTTCTTTCCGTCTTTGCTCTGCATTATTTTAACAGGTTAAAAATGTTCATTTCAACTAATTATTAATTCATATCTTTAAAAAATATTTAATACATTAATTATAACATAACAATATTATTCCAATTTGAAGGTCCATGGTATATCCTTTCAAAACTGGCTCAGTGAACAAAATTCCCATCTACATAACTCTGCTTGCATTTACATTCTGCTGTTACAATGGATACCTGCAGAGTAAATACTTGATGAATTGCCACTATGACTCCGACTACATGTACAGTTTCAACTTCATTATTGGTAATATTATTATTTAATTCTAAATATTGACAGATAGTATCATCATTTTAATTTATCATATCCAAGGAATGTCGCTATTCTTCATTGGAATGTACCTAAACATAAAATCAGATTCGCTGATGAGTGATGCACGAAAACTGCGTGGGCCGGGGACCTACGTCATTCCAAAAGGTGCTTCAATGGTTTAATTATACACCTTTTTTGTTTGCATCTTTAATAACTTCAAGTATGCAATATCTGACCATTCGTTGTGAATATTTTTCAGGTGGGTTGTATGAGTATGTATCCTGTGCAAATTATTTCTCTGAAATCATTGAGTGGGTTGGTTTTGCCATAGCCTGTTGGTCGTTTCCCGCTTTTGCCTTTGCACTGTACTCCATAAGCTACATGGTGCCTAGAGCCAAACAAAATCATCTGTATGTTTCTAGTGAACATGCCTTCAATAGATTCATAAATTGTAATAAAATTTCCGTAGCATTTAAAAAAAAATTGTATGAGGTATTAATTGCAAATGTTTAAAAAAAATTCTAGATGGTACTTGGAGCATTTCAAACCATATCCCAAAGATAGAAGGATTCTCTTTCCATACATATGGTAGACTCTAAAGACCTTCATTGCCTAACCAACGGCCCAATTTACAATGATTTAATCAGTTAACAAATTGTCAGATGAATTTTTTATTCAAATCAAATTTAATAAGATATACGTATCATGTTACTGTGCTAGCGTTAATTTTAATATCAAAAACTTGTTAATTCAAACGCTCAACATTCATTTAAATACCTTGATCAATTAACAGTTTAAATTTCTTATGGTAACATTAACCCGAACACCAAAAATCGAATTCAGTTGGAAATAAATTTATTATCTAACAATATTTAAAATTTTTAAAAATCCATTTATGATTATATCGTGAAAACAATATTCAGGTGTAGTTCTCTCAGTACTTTACAGACATAAATAAACCAAAAATTTTCAGGTCAATTTTCATCGTCATTCTGTGAGCTATTTTCTTGACTGAGATGATCGTGTTCATCTTCCTCGTCATTATTTCTCGCCACATTATCATCAGTAACATCATCCCTGTTATCATCACCGACTCCATTATCATCTTGTTTTTCTGGAATGTCGGCACCACGCGTTCTAGTTGCCGTATCATTGTCATCCATTTTATCATCAACATCCATCTTTTCATCATTTGCATAACTCTCCCGCTGTCTATCATCATCATCTTGTTTGTTATCACCACCGTCGTTGTTGGTATTGTTATCAGCGTAATCGTCATTGACGGTAGTGTAATTGTCATCATTGGCAGCAGCAGAAGTAGCAGCAGCAGTAGCAGCAGCTGCATTACCTTCATCCATCTGATCATCATCATCGTCGTCATTGTTGTTGTAAGAATTATCCTCCTCATCGCCATTCTTATTTAGTAGGCCGGGCATCTTCTGTGTCTGGTCAGTAGATGGTTGGTAGTCAACACCGACGACAACTTCATTCTTATTAAGATCCAAATCAAAGTCATCATGATCTTTTGCTGTTGCTAAGGTTGCATCCTGCCTCCTAGCTCTCTTCGTCCTGCTAGTTCTACTGGATCTGTCGTTTGTAAATGCCGGCCGGCCGTACTGCTCTTCTTCACCGTCATTCATCTCATCAAAATGCTCAGTGTTTAAAACTTTCTTGATGTCATCGTTCAGGACGTTGCGACGTTTCGTGACAATGGCTGTTGAGAATTTTATTGAAAGTTTCATTTAAATCAATGTCCTGTACAATAATAAGTTTAATACAAGAGATCCATTTTAAGAATCGGGCAATATTTATAAATGAAGAAACATTCACATTTGAAAAACTCTTCATTCACTCAAGTAGTAGGTGAAATGTCCAAATTAAAAGTTAAATTAAATGGAAAAAAGTGTAAAACTAAACAAAAGTTGACAACCTTCAATGAGTTTCCTCGATGATTCCAACTTTTTGAGACTTGCTTCAGTGTGGTGTTTTGGAAGATAGTAAATGTTCGGTTTGCTGTCTGTCCTTATGAAGTTCATCAACTGCTTTGATTGTTCTTCCCAGATTTCATGCTGTATAGTAAAAAAATATTTGGTCATTAAATGTTTTGTATTTGTTGAAAAAAGTACAAAATCTTAGCACAATGATGAATTTACAAAAAGAATAAAGAGTATATATGAATGAGTTTAAATAGACTAACCAGTTCAACTATCTCCATTTTCAATTCCAACTTTTTGAGCTTGATCTGCTGCTGTTTCTTGGTGTGGAAAAGTTTATCTTTCTCCATCCTAATCTTGGCCTTTTCATTTTTCTGCTTCTCCTCCAGCTTCATTTCAACTTCCTTGCGCTTTCGCTCCTGCATCTCATTTTTTCTCTCATCCATTTTGAACTGCCTCAACGTGCCCATGATCAAACCAAACATACGTCTGTTTCTGTTTTCAATCAGTGATATCATTAAATGCATAATTACAAGTAAATAATATAGATAGGAAAAATATCTAAAAAAATAAGCAAATAAAATGGATTGAACAAATAAAAATGAAATGAACATGTGAAAAGAATTAAACAAAGTACCTTGCACTGCCCTCCTTATCAATGTTTTGCTGCTTTATGATCTCCTCTCTTGACTGACTGTCCTTGTTGGTCGCAATGACTGAAGATGCCAATGTTGTCTGTGTAAAAGGAAATTTAAATTATAAACATGATCAATGAGATTGTTAAAATATTTAGAAAACAAATTATTTATTAATAAATACTCAAATGATTTCTAAGCAACTGTCATCTAATGAAGGCAGACAAGTAAAGTTGAAGAAATATGAGACCAATGAAAGTAATACAGATTTAATTGTATATGGCTACCAAATAATCTCTAACTCTATCATAAAATAATAAAACTATAAAAAAATAAATTAGGAAAATATAAATAAAACCAGTAGTACATGAGTTTGATAATCATCCTCTTCTTCTTCTGCATTATCCCTGTTCACATTATTGCTTGATATGATAAGCTGGCGTTGTCTAGGAGGACCTGCTATCAAACCACTGCTCAACCTCTTCCTATTCAGTCCATCCCTTTGTGGACCATCAAATCTCTGAATAAATCTGACAAATTTTTGTTTTTAATTTAATAACTAGTGCAAATGTAAAGTAAATAATAATTACCTCAATGTAGTTTTTTATTAAAATGTTTTCAAAAGTTAATTTTTATTAAATGATTATAACTCTACTAAATGAAGTTACCTGTCATTCTTTCTGTGAAAAGAAGGAGCATCATCGTTAAGTGACACACTACGATTAGGGAATCTGCAAACAAATTAAATTAAATTTATTTAAAAAATATTTTTCATTTCAAATGCATTTGTTTAAATTTATTTGCGATTAATTAAATTATTTATCATATTTGATTTGCACTCTTACAACTTGTAACAAATTCAGGAACAAACTTTGCAAATAAATAACCGGTTTAAATTTTTAAATAAATGAAAAAAAATTGAATATCACTGAATATAACACTAAAATATAAAAAAGAAACGTAAAAATTAGAAATGGAACCAGCTACGTTAGTTACGCTACCTGTTTTCCCGATCGCGACCAATGATACGTTTGATGGAGACATCGGTGTTGCTCAAGTCCTCTTTCAGCTTTTCAATTTCGTTTTTCAACGTATCGACAGACGCCATGATTTTTAATTAAATTTATTAAAACTTTCAGTAAGAAACTTAAAATAAGTAACTTTATTTTATAAATTAACCAAACAAGTTAACACAAGAGCGATAATACAAAAATTAACAAAATCGGGTATCCATAGATAAACAAATTAATAAAAAATTTTTTACAGCTTATCAAGCAAATTTGTGAAAAATTTACGTTTAATAATTGTGAATACAAACGTTTTATAATAAATATGCAAGCATAGAATTTTATAAATTCAAAACTGTCGTAAAATAAAAATCATGTTTATATATTTAAATCATATATATATATATAGAGAATATATACATTTATATACATGTTTTGTTCTATATATTTGATGTATATAAATTTATTGTTCTTTTGTTACGCAGTTTACTTTTAAATTAATAAAAATCATATGGGAAATATCGCTCTTTTACGTTCGTTACGCTTATTAATTTTTTTGTTTTAAACACCAAATTTGTAACTAAAAAATTTTTGCAATCAAAAAAACGAAAAATGAGTGCAACCCAAGGAGCCCTGCTTTTAAGGAGACAACTTACTGGTTGGAATTCTTAATTTTTGTTTGTGAAAGTTTAAAAAAACGTCAGTTGCTTGCGTTGGCTTTGTTTTGTTTGTTGTAGTCTCAATGTCCGTGAATGCCTCGTGCTGATTTTATTTCGGAAAATCCGAAATATAAATGTGGATAAATGTGACATGAGTACTATTTGTAATCGAATTGCATTTTATTTTAATTTAAACGTTCTTGATTGGTTTGTTTTATTATCCAATCTTAAATTTTAATTTTTTTATTTAATTATTGTATTAATAAATTAATTAAAATAAAATTAATATTATTTTATAATACTATACTAATACTAAGGGCTAAGCTAAGTTACTAACACTAACTAACAAACTTCAAGCCTTTCTTCCTCATCATTTGATTATATTTTCTATCTCAGGCTTTTAAATTTTTATCATTTGAACCTTTTAAAAAAATATATAATAATTATAATGACATAAAGTCATAAAGACATAATCTTACTAAAATATTATTTTTATTTTTTTTAGATAAAACTGTCATTTATTTCCACACTCTTATCTTTATTTTTTGCTTTTCCAGAACTGAACAAACACCCAATAGAAGGATTTTCAGCTGGTTTGATTGACGACAACGACATTTACAAGTGGGAGGTCTTAGTCATTGGACCCCCTGACACATTCTAGTAAATAATTATTTTTCAATGTGTTTGTGTGTGTGTGTGTGATTGTCTGTGTTTGTGTGTGCCTATTTTTTTTATTGAGAAATAGTTTTAATGTGTTATAAAAAACTGATTTTTAAAAACTTAAGTGAAGGAGGGTTCTTCAAGGCTCACCTCACCTTCTCCGCGGACTACCCACAAAAACCACCGAAGATGAAATTTATTACTGAAATTTGGCACCCCAATAGTTAGAGATTTTTGTTGTTATTATGTTTATTTAAACTATTTAATTTCAATGACATTTTTAATACTGGGACTAATTTCAATTGATGAAGTCTAACTTAAGCTTTTTTTTGTTTTTTAAAAATTTAAAATTAAAAAAAATTACCTAGTTGCCAAAACTGGAGACGTGTGCATATCCATACTGCACGATCCCGGAGAGGATAAATATGGCTATGAGCGCCCTGAGGAGAGATGGCTTCCTATACATACGGTCGAAACAATTATGGTTTCTGTAATTTCTATGCTCACTGATCCTAACGACGAATCTCCGGCTAATCTCGACGCTGCTGTCAGTTATTTCTCTATTGTTATTTATTTTTGTTTGTTTGAATATCCATGTTTTAAATATTTTTATCTTAAATATACATGTTCTAAATATAAATATCTTTGTTATTGATATGTCAATTTAAGTTTTTCAAATTTTTTATTTTTATTCATTGTTTGTTTTCATTACTCAAAAAAAATTTGCATCCAATCTAAAATTTCAGAAGGAATGGCGGGATTCGAAGGAGGAGTTTAGGAAAAAGGTGGCCAACTGCGTGAAGAAAAGTCAGGAGATGAGCTGGGACTAACTATCTTACTAACTAATCTGACGTCACGCCATACTACGTACACACACACACTCATATATATGTATATGTATGTATATATATGTGTGTGTGTGTGTGTGTGCGAGTGTGTGGTATATATTTATATATGTTCTTTAATTTGTATGATTTGCTTGTTTCAAATTAGATTATGGCTCTCCGGCCTATTTTTGTGTGTGTGTGTGTGTGAGTGTGTGTGTGTGTGTGTGTGTTTCTATTTCTGTGTGTCGTTGAAACACCAGTTGGAAAAAAAATTAAGTTATTCATTTATTTAACTATTCACTCAATCAATCACAAAAGTCTTCTTTTTGGTTCTGTGTTTGTTCATTTGTTTGGTTAAATTTGTTAACAAAGAAAAGTAAACTTAAAGTTATAGTCCATTGACGAAAAAGATTATTAATTTTATGATTTTGGCATTATTTCCATCTATCCATTTCATATTATAAAGACATTTTGTCTGAATTTTTTTTTTCAAGTTATAAACTAAAAATAGCAATAATGGATTTTCCGAATTTCCAGTGGGTTAGTTATGTTAACAAATAAACGAATGGATGAATGAATGCAAACAAGCTTGTAATTTATTAACTTATTTAGTTAATGTTTTTCAATATTTCTGCCATATATATATATATATAATATAATATAGAGTCATAATTGTGTGTGTGTGAATTTTATTATTAAATAAATAAATAAATATGTCCACGATTTTTAATACTCTTGTACTTTCGAGTTTTTGAATGCCTGTATAATTGTATTGTCTCTTTTGTATGTGTTTATGACATTGCGTGTATGTGCGTGTGTGTGTGTGTGTGTGACTTTGTTTGTTTTGTAATATTGTGTGCGCGCGCGTGTGTGTGTGTAATGTTAAAACTGATAAATGGCCTTTAATAAATTATATTAATGATGACGACAATAACATTATGACGTTGAAAAAGTTCCATCAAACACTGTGTAAACTGTTAATTTGTAAGTTGATATATTTCTAATTTATTCAATATGACCAAGCCACTCATATTTATATCAATAATTAGCCATTATTAATCACTATATTATGTTGATAGAAATGTTTTTAAATGAAACAACACATTTGAAAAACTCCGTTTCATTAATGTTTGTTTGATAAAATTAAAAATAAGATTGCGTTATGGTGTAGATTAGGAAGAAAAAAATATATAAATTTGGTTTTCAATCTTTAAAAGTAGCGAATACAAGAGCAGAGTATACAAGTTCGTCGTTATTATCAGTAAATTGATGTTGTTATTTTTTGCCTGTCGGTTAGAGACGATTATTTTCGGTTTTTCCGTTACGCATAAAACGGTACTTTAACGCTTAACAGTCGGTCTTTGGTCGGTAAACATTTTATACCATCTCTAATCAACCTGCGTGGCAGTCTATACATTTTGATGACCTTTCTGAGAAATTTTTCCTCATTTTCCGGTTTATCTTTAAGGAAAAAATCCAATATATCATCGGTATCCGACTTGTTTTTAGCGGTTATTTCGTAAATCGCTAGAACGTCCCTGACCATCGAGATTTCAATATTTTTTGAAGATAAATTTCTCGCAGGTTTGACGAGAATTTCAAGTTGGTGGATTGAATCGTTGATGTTTGTTGCTCTTGTGTTGCCCGCATGCCTGCTGACGTTGTATATGAAGGAGGTTGTCTCGTCCGAACTTTGGTTTGCACGCTCCATCTCCGCTTCCTCCAATGAGTAATAAAACAACGGCACCTGAATTGAAATTGTAAAGCAGCCATAATTAATTAAATTGACATACACGCGCACACATGATTTATTGGTTACTCAATTGTATTTGACACGCACACACACACACACGCACGCACGTGTGAATTATTGAAAACAGGATTTTATTGTTAGGCTGACTTACCTCAATCTTCATAACTCCTCTGTTATTTATACAGGCCTTCATGTCCAAATCATCAGCGTACCTCGGAAGTTTGATTCGATGTCTGAATGATTTCGAGAATGTTCCCGCGTAGTTGGTCTCGATAGCTTCAACCAAAATGTAGCGATCGGATAGTGGATCGATTCCGACAAATAACTTCGTGTGGCGGATTTGAAAATCTCGTAAATCGACGAAAGCGACGAATTTCGGGAGAAGACCTGTCATGTCGATGAAGTTGTTCGGAGGAGAAGGCTCTGGTTTGTTCTTTGGTATGTTTGGCGAGATTGCTTGTGAGGACAATGTTGATGAGGATGATGACATTTGTGTGCGGTTGATGAAGTGATGTTGTGGCTGTTGGTGGTCGTTTGTGATGTTTTCGCGTATTAATATGTTGTTGCTGTTGTTGTTGTTTTGGTTGGATGATATGTCTGGTTTGTATAGCTGATGTTGTTGTTGATGTTGAAAGTGTTGTTGTTGTTGTTGTTCTTTAGAGCTATTCCACGCCAGCATTCGATCCAGGTCTCCAGACCAGGTTTGCATCTGAGATTCAAGTTCATTTTGAATGGACATCGATAGATTTAAATCTCTACCCCTGTTGCTGTTATTGTTTTCGACGTTAATGTTGTCGTTTCCTTGGTTGCTACTGACATATTTCTCGCGGTTAAATTGAGCAAAAGTCGTTTGTTCGTTTGTATCGAATGATTTTTCTGGTGAATTCTTATTTCGTTGTGGTTCGTTAGCGTCGTTCTTGGACTGAGAAATTTGTGGATTTTTTAATGAAAATTGGTTTTGTTGGAACTGTGGTTGCTGCTGTTGCTGTGACGCGGGAAACGATTTATTCTCAAAAACTGTTGGCGAAAGTTGTCGCGAACCGTGTGGCTCCCATTCGTGAAAGACATGCTGCTTGCTATGGCTACTGTTTAGGCTGCTGTTGTTGGCGGCATCAATAACATTTTCATCTTTTTCGCCACGGACGAAATTTTTATTGATGTCTTTTGTGTTGTTTTTGTCGCTGTAGTAATTGCTATTGTTGTTGACATCATTGTGGTTATCATCATCGTCAGGCATTCTCTGGCTATTCACTTCATTATTTTTGATAACGAAAATCCCTTTATTCTCGTTATCATTAAGGATTCTAGCACTTTCGAAGACATCATCATCTAGACTGAAACTACCTTTCATAATCTTTATCGAATGAGTGGCTGGGTTTTTATCATTGTATATCTTGACTGGGATATCGATGTATGTCTCTTCGTATTTATTCCTATCCAAATAACTCGCATGCATTATCAACTATATTTTATTATATTTTTTAATTATAAATTGATTTTAATGATTATATGAAATGTAAAAATTACATAATTATTATTTATCATCTAATAACTCCTTATAAAATTATGGATAAATAATTCTCGATTCGTCAAAATTTAAAGCACTGCGCATTGCTTACTGACTTGTGTGATTTTTAAATAACATTTTCTGTGTGCTTATTTCAATATTTAAAAAATCACAAATATATATATAACTGTATATAACTGTATATAATTCGGTACAAGCTCATACAATACTGTATATATATATATATATACATACATATATATATATATATAAATATGTTGGTAATATATATATATATATATATATGTGTGTGTGTGTTTTTGTGTATGTGTGTGTGTGTGTGTGTGTGTGTGTGCGTGTGTGTATATATAATTAATTTGTTTACAGCGGCGTACAAGTGTCCGTCTTTATTCAATCAATATCCATAATTATCCTTCTCTCTCTCCTCTCCCTCTCTCTTTTTCTCACTTTCTTTCTACCTCCATATACTATATATGTATTAATTATATTTTTGAATTAATTATTTATGTATGTGTGTGAGATATACACGCGTATGTATAAGATGTTTGTTTGGATATATACGAAGATCATTCAGTTCACATAAAAAACACACGCACATAAACGCACACATACAAACAACTACACACATACATACATTTACACATGTAAAGCATGGTAGATGCAAGAAAGTGTGTTTTCATAAAGAAGTTACGAATTGGTTATTAACTTTTTGTTGCATTCAAACAGCTTGAAGAATTTAATGAATGAATGGATGGATGGATCAATCGTTTGGTCGTTCATTCATTCGTTCGTTTGCTCATTCATTCTTTTATATGTTCAGTTATTCACTCATTCACGTGAAGAGAGAGAGGGAGAAAAAAGAAAGAAGGACAGTTACATGATCTTATTGTCCGTGCAAGCCTTTTCTTGATATATTTACAATTTTGTTTACATGATACGATCAAATATTAACCACACACACAAAACACACAGATCCACGCACACAAACAACACACACAAACAACACACACACACAACACACATACGTAATAATGCCATGAATAGTTTGCTGACTGCCAAAACTAAAATCAAATAAATTATATAAAAAAATTGATTTAAGCTCTCAGCAATACTACTACTATTACTACTCATACTACTGCTGCTGATACTACTACATTTGCTGCTACTACTACTGCAGTTGCTACTACTACTACTATTTTATTAGTCTTAAATAGTTTAAATAGTATTTGATCGAGGCAAACACAAAAGAATGAAAGGCCTAACGTATAATATAATTCATCTACAGACTGATTTCTACGCTATAATCCATACACTATTTTCAACCCAGTGCGTGTGGGCTCTCAATAGATTTTGTATTTATGTGTATTTATTTATGTATATGTGTGTGTGTGTGAATACGTGTACCTGTGTATGTGAGTGTTTGTATGTGCGTAAAACGAGTTAAACCCCCAACATAGTATCACAGTTAAAAATTAATAATTTATTTAACATAAAAATTATAGATATTCCGTTTGAGTTCATTGTGAGTGACCTCAATTTGGATTTCTGAAGTACATTTCCAGTACAGTTGACGTTATTTTCGCCATTTTGTACCTACATGTACAAACACAAATATTTCTGTTTGAATGAAATTTCAAAAATACAATCATTCGTGTGAGTTTTATCTCTCTCTCTCACACACACACGCGCGCAAGCAAACAAACACACAAACACACACAGACACACCAATACACAACCACTTACAATTTTTACGAACTTACATCAATAGAAAATCTAACTTTAGCACAAGTTATTTTAACCGGGAACGAACGTCTGCTGGAGGAATGTTAGAAAGAGGAATGAAGTGTAAAAATTAAAAAGTGGATGCACTATAATCTGATATCTATGGATTGGCACTATAATCTGATATCTACGGATTGAAATGACGTCATTTCATGTTTTCACGACATTTTTTTTATTTCAAACGTGTCTAAAATCGGAAAAAGTTTAAAAAAATTTGCTAATTTTAATACAAAAATTCATCTATTTTAACAATTCAGTTTTATAATAACAAGTCACACATCCGTCCGAAAACCAACAAACTCATTCAATCAGAGTTTTATCACACACACATACACACACACACGCAAGCAAACAAACAAACACACACAGACACATCAATACACACCCACTCATAAATATTATCGAAAAGAAATAAATTAAACAAAAAATGAAGAACATTCTTAAAAAAATCAATTTTTAAAAAATTCAGTTCGGCACTACAGAGCCTGATTGCATCATTAGCTCCCTGCAAATGTAACCATTCTATCCTAAATTTTAAATGAAAATATTTATAACTTTGTTACTATAATGATTATTATAACAAATATATCATTATTGAAATGCGTGAATGAATGAATGAATGAATGATTGATTGATTGAACGAATGAATAAATTATTAACAGAAAAAAGAATAAATTCGTCATTAAGTCAACCATGACAAGAAATACAAACGATCTAAAGCGAGCCTCTATATATTTAATGGGATGTTCAACATGACAACAACTACACACTTTAACATCCACACTAACAACAAAACTATAACATCCACAACACTAACAACAGCAGCAGCAGCAACTCTAACAACAACAACGCAGAACAACAGTCAAATACTCAAATGCCTAACACAGCAGGTCATACAGTATTAAAATATTAACGAGTGCATTTAACTGGAAAAAAAAACAAGAAAAAATACTAATCATAATAGCAATAATAATAAAGGGAGAGAAAAAGAGAGAGAGAGAGAAAGAGAGAGAGAAAGAGAGAATAATATAATATGCAATAATATATATTATCAGCTTTATTTACTTACCTAAAATGCCTTAATGTAATGCAACAAAATTAGTCAATAGATACGCATTTATGTATCACCTCTATTTCTCTCTTTGTCTCTCTCTCTCTTTCTTTCTCTTTCTTTGTCTCTCTCTCTCTCTCTCTCGTGTATAATTAATAGAGCATTTTATTGTTGTCATGTATGATTAAATTGCATTAAGATTGTTGCATTAGAGTTTCGGTAATTCAGTTTTGCATTAGAGTTTCGGTAATTCAGTTTTGACTTGTATAGTAATTTCGACCCAGTGGCATACTTGATTTCCCCCTTTCTTTTCTCAACCTTCTCTCTCTCAATTTGTTCACTCATCCATCCATCCAATCATCCATCCGTCAAATGGCACCTTAATGAAGGGCACAGCATCGGCAACTTGGCATCCGAGTGACCTCATGAGAACGAGAGGTGAAAGGTCATTGCTGTAGAAGCGGTTGAGGAAGTCGATGGTGGCCATCATTGGTAGTACGCTTCGCTGTCTGTCCGTCTCGTACCTTGCTAACGTTCTTATGTTACCTGTGTAGATGTTTGTGTGTGTGCGCGTGTGAATGTGTATACATGTGTGTGTGTGTGTGTGTGTGTGTACGCGTGTTTCATCATCACCATCCTCTTCCTCACCAACCTAATTCCTCTCCCCTCAAGACAGCCTCCTCCAGAACTTTTGCCAAACTGATGACGTCACCGAAGCCTAAGTTGACGCCCTGGCCCGAGAGTGGGTGTACCCTATGAGCTGCATCCCTGTGCATGCATGCATGTGTGTGTAAGAGTGTGTATGTGTGTGTATGGGTGCGCGCGCGCGCGTGTGTGTGTGTTTGGTTTCTAACAACAACAAAAGCGACAACAACATTTATTAGTAGTAATAACGCAAAACAACAACAACAATAATAATAATTATAAGAAGGAGGAGGAGGAAGAGGAGAAGAAGAAAAAGAAGAAGAAAAAGAAGAAGAGGAGGAAGAAAGAGAAAAAGAAGAGGAAGGAGAAGAATAAAAAATTAACCCAATCAGAGCAATTTTATTTTTGACGTAATAATTTGAGTGGCATAATGTTAACGGGAATGACTTTCGGCTTCCTTCATCGACGCCAACAACCTTTGGAGGCAGTTGCTTAACTGAGCACTGGCCTAATAAATTATCATAAATTATGATAATTATATGATAATTATTTATGATGATTAGTTATAACAATAATAATTACTATTGTTATTTGTCTTTATTATTATTAAACATCAAATTTATGATGAGACTGGCTCAGTATCAAATGAGAATAGCCAAATAAATAAATGAATAAATTTTATAATAAATGAATGAATGAACGAATGAATGAATGAATGAACGAATGAATAAAAAAAAGGAAGAACGGACGAATGAAGGAAAACAGCAACATACCCAAGCCAGTCGTGGAAAGAAATTGTTTAACACAGCTGGTTAGCCTAGCAGTAAATTCATTGCTATCCTTCTCACATAACTGAAAATTAATGAAATAATTAAAAAATAATAATAAATAAATAAATAAATAATAATAATATTAGCATACATAAGCTGTATTGACTTCACTGACGAAATCCTCTGCACCAATTGATAGTAACCTCTTGGCTTCAGATGGTGTTGTCGTCCATATCAAACAGCTGAACTGATTGGATAGCTGAGAAGGAAGAAAATGAATGAACGAATAAACAAACGAACGAATGAATGAATAAACGAACGAACGAATGAATGAATGAATGAATGAATGGATAGATGCTTTAACAAATGAATTAAAAAACGAGCAAGAGAGTGAAAAAATTGATAAGTGAATGAGCAAATGAGTGAATAAAAAAATGAATGAATAAATAAATAGGTAAATAAATTTAAAACAATTTTTTGGTAAAAGTTGAGAAAATGGCGACAAACAGGCAAAAGAGCAATAGGACCAGTTGGTAAAAATCTTTGCCAGGCTGTATTGTTATTCAACTCCTGAAAAAAATTCATTTTAATAATTTAATTAGGTAATAATTACGATAATTTAACATAACAACGTCATCATTAACAACGTCATGAACAGAAAAAACGTTAACATTAAAAACAACAACATCATCAACAACAACCTCGAAAATATGAACAACAGATACAACAGCAGTCTGTTGGTAAGGCCAGGCTACTGTGCTAATGTTACATGATTTTCTCAATAAAGAATTGACACCATCAGCTCCTATCTAAAAAAATTATTACGAGAAATTATCATTAATTCAAAGATGTCATTGCCAATGTAATTATTAATAATAAATACTAAAAAATGATTTAAAAAATTGAAAAAAAAACGAAGACTAATCAACTAACCAGTAGTTTGGCTTTAAGAACATCCCCATCATCTAGCACTATTTTAGGATCATCACCTCCATTCAGAATGTAGGATTTTACTTTGGCTTTGTACCTAATTTCGACTTTTGTTTCCAACAGCCGATTGACAATGGCCGAGACAATGAGGTTATTTTCCGCAACATGCGCCAGATATTCGCCAGAATCGGGTTTATGATTGAATGTGATGCCCACATCTGAACAAGAATCCCATATCTAAGAACAATGACAGATTAAATTATAATTTAACTTTGTAAATTTAAACTCATAAAAAAATAAATATAATTTGAAGTTATATATGTCACAAAACTTATATAAACTAATAAAAATGAATTGAACTTTCAAACCCTCATGTGTTTGACTGGCTGCAATCTCAAAATTTTATCCCATGCACAAAAGCCTATCATATTAATGACATTTTTTAATTAGTTTTAGAAAAAATGATTGAAAAATTTTGAAGTTTTTATGGAAATTTTAAAAATAATTGGTGGCAGATAAAAAAATTTATTACTGTAAAAAAATTAGAAAAAAATGTAATAAAGAAATTAAACAGATAAAAAATTTAAAAAAATTATAATAACTGTTTAAGAGATCTTTGGTAGCACCACTCAGAGAACAAACTTGACTACTGTACTTATCTGGGGTTTTATCTAGCAAAACCTTTGGGCCAGACTCCAACAACAGAATTCGCTTTTCCTCAAAAAGTTTACTATGACCTAATTTTTAAAATAGTTTAGTTAGTTCAATGTTCAATCAATCATTGATACTTGTATACAAAAGTTTTAATAAATGACTCAATTTATTTATTTAATGAAGAAATAAATCAGGGATGTGATGTGCTAAATCAGGGTATAAGATGTTTTTTTTCATCAATTTGAGTATAGAAAACACTCAAATTGAGTCAGATGTCACATCATACAAGACAGAGAAAGACAAGAATTTAATTTAAAAAATAGCAATAACATACATAATAATATATAAATAAACTATAAAAAATTATTAAACAATTTTATGAAAATAAATAACCAAGAGAGGCTGCCATAGCACTGCCAACCATTCCTCCCCCAGTGATCACAATGTCGTATTCATTATTACTTTTACCAGAGACAGAGAAATGTTCAATACCTTTGTTGGTAGCCGCAGTGGATCCCTCTTTCGCCGTTGTAGTATAATTCCGATTGTTAGAACATGACAAGTTTTTCATTAAAGCAGAAATTGAAAAAGAATGGATCTTATTCAGACTTGAAAAATTAACATGACTAAAACGTCGTTTTACAAAACAAGCAACAAAACCCATTTTATTTTTAATCATTTTAATATATTCTGAAGTTACGTCGCTTAATCCTTAAAGAGTACATCAACTCAAACCAGTGAAAAAATTTGAACGTGATTGAAACCACTTAACTTTTCTTTATTTTTAAAAGTGAATTGCCATGAATCAGCCATTGACAAGAGGATCTTTTTTAAATTTTCTGTCGAAAAGTTTCTAAAAACAAAATACCAAACCAAATATAAGATATGAAACAATAGTCACTATCCTGTCTAGTTTATTGACTAACATTCAATAAAATACAAAATCCCCAGTAAAACCCTTATTTGGAAGAAATGACCTTAGTCATAACTTTCAATCAACAGTAACACGGTCGATCCAAGATACTATATCAAAAACGTCGAAATTACCACATTAAGTTATACATTTTCATGCTCGGGAGATACACGAACGTAGTAGCAACCAGCAAAACTCATCCTCAGTGTAACTCCAAAATCGAACTAGGGCGTACACATACCACACAATCGATCAATCCAAACGGAATACCGACCGTAATTTGGAAATCAGCATACGAAATTTTAACATTTTCAGATATCGAAAACCTAACAAAACTAGCTTATCACATATTTATTGTTTCACATAATTGGATAAAATATTAAATATGTTTGTGATGATGCAGTTTTTAATCAAATAGACCAAATCCCATGTCACCATCTTCTTCTTCCTCCTCCTCTTCTTTGGGAGCCTCCTTGGGTGCTTCTGTAAATGAAATTTATCAAAGAAAATTCAAAAAAATATTTTTAACAAAAGCGACAATTGCACAAGAAAGACAGAACCAAACTCATTTAGAACAAATTTATAATCAATGAAATAATCATCCGAAAGATGGTGATTTTGTTTTATAATCATTGGTTGGTTCAATCACAAAGATATTAAACGAAGCATTCATTTGAGAAATAATCAAATTTATAAAATAAAACGAATCCAAAGCACCTAAAGGTTGATTCATAAATAATAATCAGAACTGGTTAAAGAAACATGACACAAGAAATCTTCATTTACCAAAATCACATCAGATGAGTTTGTAAGTCTTTGAAAATGCTTGCAAATTAAACTACCAAAACAACTAAACATATTATAAATAGTAACCTTTAACAGCTTCAACCTTGCCAGCAGCAGCAGCGGTAGGAGCACCAGCAGCTGTGGCAGGCCCTCCAGTTGGTAGACTGGCTAGCTTTTTCCGTCCTATAATTTTTTAAATAAATGTTTATAATTCTGAAGATTGAAAAATGTTTTCAAATCAAAGCATCACCTAGTAAAAATGCACTAGAAGATAAATGATATGACTTGAGAGTTTCATATTGCATTGGTCTCTTCATAATCAATTTATTAAAAATTGTCATGCTTAAACAATGCATTCATGATTTGAGTAATTAAAAAAATCAGATCGCTCATTCACAAATTATTGAAATTAAATGTGCACTATCAACTATTTGAAACTGAATTTATGATCAGATCAAAAATGGGTCAAGCAATTAATCTTGCACCGGCTACCAAGTGACATAACATGGTTTTGTAGCTATTCACCTGATTTTATAGTGCTTGAGCCCTCATTAGATGAAACCAACACTAAAATTTAGTAGAAAATAACAAAAAACCAACCCTCAGCAACCAGTTCATCAAGGTTTTTGCCCTGCAGTTCTGAAACAACTTTCTTAGCAAGAGTATCATCAACATCAATGCCAACACTGCTCAGGATCTTTTGCAAGTCTTTATCTGAGGGTTTCTCGATCCCACCAAGATGAGCCAACAAATAGGCAGCCACGTAACGCATTCTGTTAAAACATACAAACGATAAGTAATAAATTATTACTAATAATAATGAATTGAAGAAACGGTACCTAAAATTGTCAATTTTTTAAAATAATTATATTATTATAAATGCAGAACCAAACTCATTTAGAACAAATTTATAATCAACGAAAATCATCCGAAAGATGGTGATTTTGTTAAATAATCATTGATTGGCTCCAACAAAACGATTTTTATAAAAATCTTAGACAAAATAAGAAAATGGCATATGGCAGATGCAGAGAGCATGGCATGATTGGGAGAAAACATGAAACAATCATCCACCACGCTCTACTAAAATCAGTTTCACATTTGAAAAACAAGTTAAAATAGAATCGAATCAACATTCATAAATAAATTAAAATATTAGAAAATACTTTTTAAGTCTTAGAGACACGAAACGTGAACAACCAAAACAGCTTTACAAAATTTATGACACGACAAACGTAAAAAGGAATACCGGATAAAGATTACACGTGACCTTTGGAAACATTTTATTTTACATTATTTGGGGCTTAATAATATAATTATTTTTAAATTGGTAACATTCAAGAACATGTTTAAAGTTATCTTTTGGTAAATTTTATATTGAAACTAATACAAAACAATTTTTTGCATTTAATGTCATAATTATTTACTTTGTTGAAGTTTACTACTTTTAAGCATTTCAAACACCACTGGTTACCATTTACTTTTTAATTAAAGAGACAAGCGCGTCTTGTTCAAAGTGTCTTTTTGCTCTATATCATAATCAAAATTTGAAAAAAGTTATCGGAAATACTTACAAAACAATGGAAAATTTATTAAACATGTACAAATTTATTTTTCACACCTCTGATAATGATGCCGGACAGACTGATTTAAAAGTAGTTTCGGACAAGGACCTCCTTCTGGCCGTCAGTTTACTTCACGAAAAAATTGAGTTCAACATTAATAACATATCATCTTCACTTCACTTCACTGACTGCGTCAATTATATATACGGATTGGTTAGTACAACTAGGTTGATCTTAACCATCTGTTGTCAATTGTTTATGAAGGGAATCAATTGTAATTTATTAAATAATTATAATAATTATATATAATATATATTTTAATAGATATTTAAAAGTTTTTTTTATAAATGTTGTTGAAAAAGAATGACTTAATAATTATATATAATATATATTTTAATAGATATTTAAAAGTTTTTTTTATAAATGTTGTTGAAAAAGAATGACTTTACAATAATTAAAACTTTCAGACTCAATTGCTCCATCATCCATCTATATACGTCTCATACAGTATAAAGAATTTATTAGTGTTGATCTGTAAAAGTTTTTCAAAGGTTTTTTATTTGGCCATCTAATTTTATTTACTTCATTCTGTTTATTATTATTATTTTAACTGTGCTTTCAAAAGATAAAGTTTTGGCAATTCATCCCTCTTTTCTTGTTTACGTGCATAAATTTATCTCTTTCTTAACCCAAGTCTCAAAAAATTACAATCTAATTTGCTATTTGGGGTTTTAGTTCAATAAAATAATTACCATAGTGACTTACTTACACAATGTTATGTTTAACAGGGGAGAAATGGATTGCTAAGGTTTTGTTTCACCTTATATTAAGACCATCTTATTTGAACAATTTTTAGGACAATCATTTTATTGAAGGTCTTTATAATGTGGTGGTTAGTGATATCGTTGATGTTGGCAGTGAGACGTGGGATCACTCTTTCTCACATAGGGTTGATCTTTTCCATGAAATTTTGGAAGGTTTTTTAACTTTTTTTAGTTTTTTTGGTTAATGTTGATAATCTTAAGAAATAATTAAAAAAATTAAAAAATTTAGTCTATGTAATTGCATTTTTTTTCTTATCATTTGTATTATTAATAAAATATTTATTATTATTCAATAAATAATACATAATCACTGATTAATTATTATTTATTAATTTATTTTATAATTCTCAGATTTTGATTTCCTCCGCAGTTCCTTCTTGAAACATTGGAAATCATTCTTCGATCTACTATTCAATGATTCAAATCAACTCCTACACAATGAACAATCTAGAATAATGATTTTTTTTTCAATGATAAAGTTATACACAAAACTCATCAAATACATCCATCTTGACTTTGGCTCTCTGGCAATCATATACGATCTTATCATATTTGTTATAATTAAACTAAAATCTTCATCCATTCCCCAAAGTTGTGTAAGAAAAACGCTAAGACTAATAGAAAATTTTGTATTCAGACAAGAATTTATTAAAATTTTACAATCCCACAGTCAAGTTAACAACCACGCCAATGATGTTACACACAGATTCTTACAAAAAACTTTGTGTTTGTTAACAACAGGTGAAACAGAAGATGATAAAATCGCTAGTGGACTAAATTTTAATGTTATTACAGATAATTTTATTAAAAATTCAACTGGTCTTAATTTAGATGGCAATTATGTCCATATTATTTCTTATAAATGGATAAAGAGTTTGCTACTGAGGTCGTCAAATTATGATTTTTTCATTGGTTCTGGTAATGTAAAAAGTAGCATTAAGGATGATTCTTGTGAAAAAATTGATTCAACATCGTTGAGGAAGTTAATATTAATCATTCTTCAGTGTTGTTACATAGTTCTCAATGTTAACTCTATGTGTAAGCTTGATTACAGTGTTAATAAAAGTAATGCTACCACTACTGTTACTACAACTAATAAAAAAGATGTTGTTGATGATGATAATAATGATGATGGTGATGACGTCAATAACATAGTTGATGGAGCAGCTGAAGTTTGTAGTAATGGTGAATACTTGTGCACTGGTAAACCGGAGTTGTTAGCTCTTTTTAAATCATCGGTAAGTTTCGTTGCATCCCTCGTTGGAACCTTTCATTGCAAACTTGAAATTAATCAAGAGAGAATTGAAACAACGACCAATGAAACAACGACCACCACATTCGCAGCGGCAACCACATCAGCCACATCAGCAACAACTACTTCCTCAACTGCATCCACGACACCGGCATCCACAACATCTACTGCTAGAACATCTATTACTGCTATTACTTCAGCAACGACAACAACGTTAACAGCTGCTACCAACGCTACTACTGTTACTACCAATACGACTACTACAAATAGCGAGAGTAGTGGCAATGATAATGCAAAAAATCCAACCACAAATTTTTCCACCATAAAACGGTTCCACCATTATAAAATGATGATTGACATATTTGAGGAGCACGATGAATCTCTAGTCAGAATGCTGATGTGTACAATGCACATACATCAACAACATTACATGTATGTATTTTGGAAACTTTTCACTTTTCAACTATTTTGCTAGTGAATTTGTGGTTAATTTTTCGAAAAATAATTTATTAAACATAATTTTCTAATTTCAATGTTTTATTTTGCCATAAAATAATTTGTACGACATTTTCCACCTATCAGGTTGATCAAAAATACCCAAGAATCATCAGTGAGTGATAATACGAACCTTCCTAATCTAAAAAACACCACAGAATCATTAATGAGCGATAACACGAACCTGCCTAGTTTCAAATGTATCCCGGAAAAAACAATGAGTGATAATTCAAATTTACCTAATCTAAAAAACACCCCAGAATCATTAACAATGAGTGATAATAGGAACCTTCTTAATCCATTTCTGCTTCTGCTATGTTTGTTACAAAGTTTAGATTGGAGGCACAGTGTGTTGCTGGATTGGCTTGTATCACCCGAAACTTGTTTCCTAGAATATCTGGTTAAAGTTTTCAAATTTGTAATCTGTAATTTTCACGTCTGGGTTGAGAGTTGTGACGTTTTTGATGATGATGTTTGCAAATCCGGACGTAATAGTATGTCACTACTTTTACATCTTAATAGTAGCAGTAGCAGCAGCAGCAGCAGCAGTGATATCAACCATATACTTCGCCGTGACGGTTATGTTGGTATTGCCACTAAAAAATGTGGCAGCCTTGGCGATGTGAAGAGTAATAAATGCAGAAGGAGTAGCAATACTAAGAACAGTAGTAATAACAGTAACGATGATGGTGGTGTTAATGGTAGAAATGACGGAGGCAGTAGGCAAACATTGAATCTTACGGCTTATTCAGATAGTGACAATGATGAGGATGATGAGAATGAAAATAACCTCCATGAGAATAATATTAACACAGTTAATATTAATATTAATAATAATAACAATAATAATAATGTTATAAAAGAAGAAAACAGCATAAGAGATATGATTGATGTCATTTGTGAATATGATGATGAGTATGAAGATGACGTCAACGTCGATGATGATGAAAATGATGATGAAGAAAATGATGATGATCAATCAAATGATGACGACGACGATGATGATAACGAAGGAGATAACGATGAGACAAATAAAGAAATGATGAATGATGCGATGATATCGAATGATATTATCAAAACACAAGAGAAATGTGAAATATTGTTTCGAAGGTTGCTACGATCCATTGAGAAACTACACAAACATGGAAATATACCCTATGACCCTAAGGCTTTAATAACATTATTGAGAAACTTTCTTTTACTGAAAAACCAAAATTAAACTATGGATTTTTGTTCCGTAGTCATTGTTGTTCTTGTTATTTATAAATTTATGTGTTTAATATTACTATTTTATTCTCATTTTTCTTTTTGGTGATTGTACGCTTTGCAAGTTTATGAGAGCACAGTTGAATTTTTCAGAATTGAGCTAAGGACTTGTTGATTGAAGTTAATACACACAATGTTTTCTTCGCACAATCTTTTGTATGTATGTATGTATGTATGTATGTATGTACATTTTTTAAAATTCATACGCGTACATCTATTGGGCTTCTAATTTGTTTGATGGTTTAAAAAAATATACTTACGTGTACAAATTTGCACAAATGTTTGTCGTTACTAATAGTATTTATTTATCCTGTGATGTTATTTTCATAAATATTCTAATTGTTACGTCATAAATAAAACAGAAACTGTAAAGTCGTTTAGTTTGTTTCTCATTTTGAGCATTATACATAAACTTGTTTAATTAAGTTACACCATGTATGGTACATAGAGATGCAAGTAAAATGCATTAAAAACTGCACAAAAGCATTAACAATGATGAATTGTGAATGAATGAATGAATAAGTGAATGAATGGATGAATGAATGGCTCGACAACATACATAGCATTACATAAATTTCCTAAATTCATTTTAGTGACATAAAAATAGCCGACAAACACACGCGCACGTAGATAAAATTTTGCAAACATCAAACAACATTGCTTCCATTTATCCATATTAAATTTGGACCCTTATTTTTAGACGAAGAAATACTAATAACGTTCAGACATTAATTCTCCAAAAAAATGTATCTAGCATCAAACAATTATTTTGATTGAAAAATGTGTATAAGACAATTTTAATTTAACTCCTCCCAAAAATGAAATGAAATATTTGATTTAAATGTTACAAGAACGGTCCTAAGACAATTTAGCGAACACAAATTTAGGTAGAAATACCGCCAGTGAAAAAAAATTTAATCGAATTTGTCATGATGAATGGTTAAAAAGTATGCGATTCGTGTGTGTGTATAAATGTGTGCGTGTGTATGTGTGCGTGTGTATGTGGTCGTGTGTGTACGTAGGTATGTGTGAATACATAACACACACGTACTAATATAATACTACTAAGTAAAAATTTTCATCAAGAAAACATGACAAAATTTTTTATAAATACATACTCCAAATGACTACAAAAATGTATAGATGTATATATATATATAATATATATATATTTATATATAAATATATGTAATTTACATATATATAATATTTTAAATCGCTATATTATAATATAATATTGTTTTTATGTAAATATATTATATTTAATACAAATTGTTATGTTGCCATTATAAATCACAATGAAAGTATATTCTATATTGGAAGTGTAACAAGGTTCAGGTAGATTAATAAATCATTTAAATATAAATATGCGAGTGTGTGTGTATATAGCAGTCAATGGTAAATACAATCAATTAATCAATCAATTAATCAACCAATCAATCAATCAGGTAAATACTATCAATCAATCGATCGATCAATTAATAAATTATAAAATAAACATCACCAGCCTGTCCTACGTGTTGCACATAGATAAAAAATTGTCGTTTAATGGAAAGTTTATGATTATGGTGAATTTTCAAAATTTCCAAAACAAATTTTTTTCTAAAAATTAAATTACATTTATAAAATGTACAAAGACAACAGTTATATATATATATATATACACATATATATAGTTATATATATATATAATACAGGGGTGAGCAAACTTTTTGGGGAGAGGGCCGCATTAAGAACTATTTTACCTTTGAAGGGCCGCATATGTACTTAAATAGCAAATAACCGTAGTTTGTCCACCTCTGATGTAATATATACACGGTTATTTCACAGTTTTATATATATATATATAAGTATACATACAAATAACATTTACCGCATTTTATGACATGAACTCAATAAACAAACCGCTATTTTTCAGTACATTCTAATGAGAAATAAATTCATTGAAACATCAAAGAAAGAGAATAATAATATTAAAAATAATAATAATAAATATAATTGTTTCGAAGTTTTTAATTAACAAAAGAAAGAACAATAAATTATTAGCTGATAAATGGACAAATAAACATATATATATATATATATATATTGAAAAAATTCTCTATTAAATTAAATTAATGGAAGACGAAATACATTAAACACTTTTATGTATATATAACATTTGTTTGTAAATGTATATATGTGTGTGTGTGTGCGTGCGTGTGTGATAAAAAACACACAAACACAAAGAGACACACCTATACCATTTTAAATCATGTCTAAAGTATAGATCTGTCGTTAGAGAAAAAGTTCTATAAATAACACAGCATAAAACAAAATACACGAATTAAATAAATTAATTAATTAACCCCTTGTTATAATAATAAGAATAATAATAGTAGTAATAATAATAATAATAATGTTATTATTATTCTTTTATTACGATAATCACCTCTTGAAATTTTTTTGCACAAAATTAATCAGTGACGAGGCAGACTGTTTCCTTAAAGAATTATAATTGACGCTATTAAAAATGCTACCAAAATTATTATGGTTATTATTATTATTATTGGATGCAGCGATTAGATCTCTCACTCCATCCGTCAAGGAATGATATGCCACTAAGCTTTTCTTTCTGAACGCTTTATCTGGGTAGAAATATTTTTTACCGTTAAAAATCTAATCTTAAACTATCACATAATTAATTTTCGGGAAGTAAAAATAGTAAAGAAATAACACACACACAGACATACATACAAACACACACACACACAAATACAAACAAACAAACACACACACACTAATACACACGCGCGTATTATTATTTTCAGTATTTTTCAAACCTTTTTGCTTAGTGGTATCAGGTAACTTGATAGTTTTTCTCACTTTTGATAACTCAAAACCGTTATCTAGATCATTTAAGAAGAGTTTTCGTTCGTCGTCAAACGCTTTTAGCCAGGACGATACCTCGTCGGCTGACTTGCATACAAAGGTATAAACTTTTGCCGGGGCAGTACTATTCACATTATTAGTATTATTATTATTATTTATATTATTATTATTTTTGTTGTTGATGTTGTTGCAGGATTGATAGTGATGCTGATGGTGACGACTTCTAGGTGTTTGTTCCTCTTCAACGAGTTGAAAACAATGCCTGACGTTATCTGCAGCAAAGTGTATGTTAGTTGGTTGGTTGGCTGGCAGCTGACATTGTTCTTGAAGCTATTGCTTCTTTCTCGTTTATGTCAGTGCTATTATTAATACTAAGTGTATACAGTAATACTACACTGCTAAAAATACTAAAAAATACTAAAGACAACATAACAAAGTAAACTTTATTAACACTTTTTTTTAATTATTTATCAAAATTTTAACCAAAATAAATTCAAATTTTCAAAAAAACCTTTGTTAGGCTCTGTAATGGTTTTTATTTGACACCTCCTTAGGTTCAATCTACTCTTATATATTAGTCCATCTCTCCATAATATGTCCTTAAAAAAGTTCAAAATTTTTTTAGATAAAAAATTTCTCAGACAAATTTGTAGGCATTATTGCAAAAAGATATAGATACGTTAAGAAATAGATAAAGATTTAAAGAGGTAGATGAATGGATAGATAGATAGATAGATAGATAGATAGATAGATAGATAGATAGATAGATAGAGAAAGAGCTTTCTCTCTCTCTCTCTCTCTCTCTCTCTCTCTCTCTCTCTCTCTCTCTCTCTCTCTATCTCTATCTCCAACGAATAAACAAAATTCTAATAGAAAAAAGTAATATACATGCGTCAAAAAACTCAATAACAAACAGAAATAATCACAAATTCATATGTAAACCTTTTTAAAAACGACGAGCAAGTTATCAAAGATGTACAGGACCCGACATAATATCGATCCATTTGAACTTTTCTTGCCAACTTCACCACTGTACACTAACTCCGAACTCGTTTCGTATATGGCCGGACCCTGAGGAGATTTTGAAAGATAGAAAACATGCATTTATGTGTACATAGATGTGCACTTATCAGAGAGAGAAAGAGAGAGAGAAAGAGAGAGAGAGAAAAAGGAGATAAAAATAATTTGTATAAAGAAAGACAATCAGATAGACAGATAATAGCGTAAAATAGAAAACACACACACACACACACACACACACACACACACACACACACACACACACACACACACACACACACACACACACTTGTTTAATTTGTTTACCTCTACAGCTGACATCCCATCATCACGTGTTAAAAATATTTTTTCACTGATAGAGGCTCTTAGTTTAGTTTCAGGACAATTAAAAAAAATTAAAAAAAAAAAATTAATAAAAACTAAATAAAAAAAAGCTAAAAATTCATTTTCAAAGTAAAATTTAAATTAAATTAATAAATTAGCCATTTTATTACATATTTTATCTACAGGCCATTCAATATGTATGTAGGTATGTAATGCATATTAATTTGATACCTAATACTTTCGTTTCAAATATTTTTAAATAAAAAATTTACCAGATCTAGTATTACTTAATACTTTCAACCAATCTCTCTCTCTCTCTCTCTCTCTCTCTCTCTCTCTCTCTTTCACCCACCTACACACACACAAACTCTCTCTCTCTCTCTCTCTCTTTCACCCACCTACACCCTACACACACACAAACACACATGCAAATAATACCAATTGAATTTAATGAAATACGTTTGAGTGTAAAACTACTACTACGATTTGTGTGTGTGTGTTTGTGTGTGTGTGTGTCTGGCTTATGTCACTGTAATAAAAGATAACAAAAGTTCCTTCTAAGTATTTTGATATGATACTCTGAGTGGCTAGCTATTTCTGTAAATATATTTTGGATTTAAAGTGGATGAATGTGTATATAAAAACTGACCCAATTTATAAATAACATACATAAAATCTTGTATGATTTGCTCTGGATTATGTCAAGAAAATAAAGTTTTATAAGAACAATATTAACAATAATTGAAATAACAATAATATTAATAATAAAGAGTTACAGATGTAATCTGGAGTATGAGTAACGCCTGCATTAAATAATACATCTAATAAAGTCATATATGCATGTTTGGAATAAATTTTTGCTTTATAAAGCAAAAAAAAATAATTCTATTCAATCATCACAATTATCTTCAACTGGCCAGTCAGACAACCAGACAAACCAACGAGACAACTACACTGATTACCAAACAATCAATCGGACAGACAGACCGACGGACGAACAAACAAACAAACAACAACCAACCTGCCAGCCGTCGACATTCAACTGCCAGACAGCCAACTTTTCCAGACTCTCGACTTTCCTCTTCCTCTCATTGATCAGCATGGCTGTAGACTTCATGGCCTCCATAGCACCGACCAGAGGCTCGTAATCCGGATGCGAACGTGGGGTGTACTTTATTAACTCTTTCAGCTGCAGCGGGTACTGGCAGATCTTCTGCACTGGAGATAGTAAGAAACCTGTTGGAGTGAAGAAGAGGAAGTTATAGGTACAGTTCATGAACGAATGAACCAACGAAAAAGTAATATCACATACACTCACTCACACGCACACACGCACAGACATACAAACACACACACACACAGAGAGGGAGAGAGAGAGAGAGAGAGACACACACACACATATGCACATGCAAACCTTCTAAAGGAATCTCGATCATCTGTTGGATAAGTCGACATGCTTCAAAGAACAGCTGATACTTCAGATCGTTTTTAACGCTGTTCAGTTCATCACAGGCTCTCGGATGGTTGTTGCAATACTCAGAGTAGACCTCAAAATCACATTGCTGAAAAGAAAATGTGTTGCTAATGGATAATTTAATTAATTAATTGGCGAATTTAATGAACAATTGAATTAGCCATCCAGTTATTCAATCAATAAATAGAGTTAATTAATAAATTGAAATAAAAAATTCAGTCAAATATGTAAAAAAATCACTAACATCAGTAAGACACTCACCCTTTCAAGAAAGCACTCCCCGATACAACTCTTATAAACAGCATCTTTCACAACGTTCGCCTCTAAGACGGACAGGAAATTATGAGCAAAAACATAGATCTGATCCAAATTGCTAAATATTTTTGAGACCAATTCGGATGTGAACATGTCGGTCCTTTTTCGTGCCTTGTCCACGTAGCCCTGGTGAGATTTGGGATTTTTAGATTTTACAGGAAATAGGATATTACGGTGTGTATAAATGTTTGTGTTAGTATCGTTAATATTAATTAGCGAGTGTTTGTGTAATTGGAGCATGATCATATTTCAATTTGAAAAATTATCGATAAAACATAATATTTAAAAAAATAAATGAAAAATTGGGTAAAAGTAACCAAATTGTAAAAATCTGGAAAACCAACCTCTACAACATCTTTCAACCTTTTAACATACTGCCTTTCTAAGCTTACAAACTCGTTAATCTTATGATTCCTCAGTACTTCCATTTTACTTATCTCATCATCATCTTCATCATCATCTTCATCATTTGCTATATTGTTGTTGGTGGTGGTATCAGTGCCGTTGTTTTTGTTGTTGTGTGTGAAGTTAGATGAAGAAACTTTGTCGTTGTTGTTGTTGCTGGTACGTTGATGTTGCTTGCTGTGCTTGTGCTTTCTCATGAGGGTTGAGTCGTTTCTGATGTCTATAGGCGGAGTTTCTTGTATCTGTTGATGTTGTTGTTAGTTGTTTAGTTGCTGCGTGGATATTGTTAGAGTTTGTTGTTCAGTTGTTGCGTTGATGTTGTTGTGTGTTTAGTTGTTATGTTGATGTTGTTGTTAGAGTTGACATCAACAAAACTAGTTTTTACAGTGATGCCATTGTCAGCAAAACACCGCCACACAATCTCAACAAAGCAACAACAACAACAACGACAACACCACCAACAACAACAATAGTACAGCAGCCAATAAACTTACAATAACAAAAGAAGCAGGAAACCACCCCTTCCTATCGGCAATCCGGCCGTACCACCAATCCTTGTCCAGCCTGTGCAGCACCTCAACGACGTCACCCACTTTGAACGCCAACTCGTCCGCGTCGAGAGTCACGTGATTCCAGAGCGCGTCTGCGTATATTGTCGTCGAGCGACGTGTGTCTAGAATCTGCTGGCGGGAGAAGTTAGTGGACGGTAGGATGGAAAAAGCAAAATAGGAAGAATGAATGAGTAGATGAAAGAATTGTGTCTATAGATAGATTGATGAGAGAATGAAACAAACAAACAAACAAACAAACAAACAAACAAACAAACAAACAAACAAACAAACAAACAAACAAACAAACAAACAAACAAACAAACAAACAAACAAACAAACAAACAAACAAACAAACAAACAAACAAACAAACAAACAAACAAACAAACAAACAAACAAACAAACAAACAAACAAACAAACAAACAAACAAACAAACAAACAAACAAACAAACAAACAAACAAACAAACAAACAAACAAACAAACAAACAAACAAACAAACCTCAAGCATAGCGGCCCTCTTCATTCTCATCATAACAGCAGTAGATTTGTTATCCTCATCAGCAACATGACAAAGAGCATCGTCAGCACCGCTTGGTGAAATACTCAGTGCAAGGTCTCCAGCCGCTTGGGCCCCTAAAAATGATGATGATTATAATAATAATAATGATAACGATGATGCTGGTGATGACAATGATGATGACTGACAAAAATCATCATCAAAATGATGATGAAAACCCAAACCAGTGAAGAATCATTAGCCATTGTAATAATTATTATCATCATCATCGTCATCGACTTCATTCCAACAATATAAAAACATCATTATCACAAAAACAACACTAACAACAACAACGACGACGACAACAACAACAACAGACTTGTCACTACATTAACAACACAATACACTAACAGCTTACACCTCAACCAGACATTAAAATACCTACACCATTACTAATGAGTTAAACAAACAAAATTAACACAACAGACCTCTAAATTATTAAGACAATTACTAACAAATTGACAATGCGTAGCTTAGCAATAACGCAAAAATACCAGTAAATAAATAAATAAGCTAACTAACTGACTAACAACATACAATTAATTAATCTCTAACAAGACACTTTAGCAAATATGTTTCAATTGCTGCAGTTGTAAGATGCATTCTTCATGTAAGCCTCATTTAAATAATTTAGGGCTATATAAATTAGCAACAAACAATACATTAATATATTTACACAGATACATACATCGTATGTATACATACATACACACATATTAATACATACGTACATACATTCGTGCATACAAAGATATACGTAAAACATACATGTATGTATTGTATGCCTGTATTACATTAGAGCTATTTCCAGAAGCTATGTAATTACCTTAACACGAAAAACTAATAATCATAATAATAATAATAACAACAACAACACCGAACAAACAACAACCAAACAACAACAATAATAATAAAAACAATAATAATAACAAGTCACATAGAGTAAAGCACAATTTTGCCAATAATGTGATGTTAATGTTGTATGTTGTAAGGTATGCCATTTCCTTATATCACCACCACCACCACCACTGCCATCATCATCACCACCACCACCATCATCATCATCATCACCACCACCATCAACAAAAGATAGTGCAATGGTAAAGATGATTGGTGGGCATTGTGCAATTCGATAGCGATAGCACAGCTGTGTGTGTTTGACACGTTTTTATAACAGGCACTGTTGTGTGTTTGTTGTTCATGCCCCTGAAATAATTATGCCAATATATATATAAGCCATCAGCCATCTGCAGAAAGTAGTAGCTCTATGATCATTTGCATGCTATCCTGCAAATAGTAAAACATTAATAACAAATGACGCTTCATCACCTACTAGGTATTAATTAAACTACAACAATAACAATAATAAATAAATTTAATTACCTTTCAATGTTTTCCCACTCAACCCGGAAAACAACATGGCCGACTTCCTGTTATCACTAAGCCAGCCACCGACTACACTAAGGTCAGGGGCACTACTGGCTTTCCTGACCAGACCCCAACTATACCGACAAGATAGTGACGATGATGACGACGTTGATGAGGACGAAGAAGATGAAGATGACGATGAGGAGGTAGAAGTAGACGAAGCACAGGATGATATGGACGGTGATGACGTTAGTGACTGTGGCTCCGCTAGCATCGACGAGACGTTGTTACACATTTTACCATCTCGAGATTTTATTGGCATTGGCGTGGAGAGCTAGATGAAGATGTATTGGAGTGATTTAACAACATTAAAGCATAAAATTAATTAAAATGGTTTATTGTGTTGCAAATTAAAAGCAACAAAAATATATGATTAAACGAAACTAGACAACAAAAATCATAACTAATGGGAAGAAAACACGAAAATAGCGAGACAAAAAAAACCCACTCTTCTATTTTTAGCAACATTAGCATCGACTTGACCTTTGACCTTCCTTGTAATGCATCTTAAGGGCTTGACCACATCAGATGACTCCTCCATGACGCACGACAGCATGGCTTCTTTCATGTCAACCTCGAATCCATCTACATCTGAGAAGAAATTGACATGGAAAAATAAGCAAATAAGACCCAAAAGCCGACTCGATAGCCCAATACAACAGAGGCAGCAGCGTGTAACACAAACAAGATTTATGAAGTAAAACAGACAGACATATACATAACATTACATAGATGGATGACTAACACACTTCAAGTAATATAGTTTATTCATCATTTGGTTGAATATACATACCCACACAAACAAACATACGCACATACACACACAAACAAACATACACACAAACAAACATACACACACAAACAAACGACAAACATACATACGCGTTACAAGATTCAAATATGTGCAATTTTTCTCATTATTGTACGAAAAAAAAGAGTTAGTAAGACGAATGAATACAGAGATGGCCACAATTCAAAAATTGCATTGATCCATCAATAATGTTAACGACAACAACAACGACAACAACAACGACAGCAGTCAGTAAACATCAAAGCACTCTCCACAGTCTGCATAAACATATGTGTACTACACTACAATGTACCCACACTCACATGTGTGTGTACTATACTGCAGACGGTGTACGTAAACATGTGTGTACTACTGTGTTGTACACATTGTAGTATATTAGCATCTGTCCGTGTTCTTATAATAAGGATGTTTCTAATAAAATATTGAGCTTTTATTTAGTCTAAGAAGATAATGCATCATGCATATAAATATGCAAACCAAAATGAAATTCTTCATACATATATACACATACACACACCACACACACACACTCGCGCGCGCGCGCGTGGGCGCACATGATGAGTTTTAGGTTTTTGTTTGGACTTCTATTTAAAAAATTATTTTTATAAGGTAAAGAATAATTTGTCATCTATCTGCAATCTACATATAGCACACACAACAGGCGGTTAGCAACCACACACTTAGCATGGGATAGATGCCACCACTAACACTTAACATAGCAATTTTTTAAATCATGTAATTGATAAGGTAATTATTATATCTGTGTGTGTCTTTAAAACAATCATCATCTTCATCATCAACGTCATCAACAACATCATCATCACCAGCAACATCATTATTATTGTTATCATCACCACCATCATCACCTTTATCAACATATCATCATCATCGTCGTCATCACGTTACCAACATCACCATTATTATTTCAACATCATATCCAATTTACATGAATGAAACAGACAATGAACAGAATGAGTCAGCCACCAGCAAACACACACACACTCATACACACACACACACACAGATACCCACACACACACATACACAAACAAACAAACATATAAACACACAGCAGACGTGTTTCAAATTAGGATAGCAAGCAACACACACATAAGAACATCAAACTTTTCAAATTCAATGTGAGGTTGCACTGGCTGACAGTAAAAAACATAATAACTACAACAACAACAATAAAAACAACAATAATAATAAATAATAATAATAATAAATAATAATAACAAATTATAACTCAAACTTCAAACATAGAAAAGCACACTAACCACGTCTAAAATGTCTCATGGAATGAATGTGATAGAATACAGGGTATGTTACATTATTCAGAATTAAATTAACAACAACAACAACACGACGACGACGACAACAACAACAATAATAATAATAATAAATAAATAAACATTAATAAAAAATAATAACAGAAATAGTAAAAAAAAATATTTATTTGTCCTTAAACAACATAGGAGCAAACATTGACAGTAGCTACAATCTAGTCATGGTTGTTGTTGTTGTTTGATTGCTGCCAAATTTAAAAGCAGTAGTAGAAGTAGTAGTAGTAGTAATAATAATAATAATAATTATTATTATTATTTAACGCTATTAAGAACAAGACAAAATTATGATTTGGGTACATGTAAACATTTATTGAATGTAAATAAATTGAATAAAACGAAAAATATGTATGTATAACATATATACACGTACACACATACACACACACACAAACACGCACCCAATTACACACACACATATACACACACACACACACAAACACATTATACATTGACTTTTGCAATGACACAAAAATACAGGATTTACTATAATTAAAATTTCTTGGAATTCACAATGAGGAAAATTAACAAGGATACACATATATATACCCACATACACGCGCATACATACATGCATTCAGTTTATTTATATAAAAATAGATGTAATTATTTATTTCTTAATAGTAACAATCTGCCAATCCTTTAAATTATTCGTTAACTATCTTTCTACCTATATTCTAGATATCTATAAGGTATATCATGTTATTTAATGATTCATCCATCAATACATTTATCCATCTATCCATCCATCTTTTTATCCACCAATTTTCATTTTTCAATTCCATCCATCCATCTATTCATCCATCCATTTATGTATGCATCCCTCCATTCACCCCAAAATAGATAAAAAAAGAGATACATAAGAATGAAATCATCTATAATTGTTGTTGGTATGTTAACAATCTCTACATGCCCTCAACTCAACCATTACTAACCTAAATGCTCTAATTGAAAACACATTACTGTTAAAACACACACACACACGCACATACACACACGCACACACACACACATACATACACATATGCATGCATACATACAAACACGCACATACATACTGACAAATACACAAAAAGATACACATTTCATACAAGAATGAATCAACATGCATATGTATAGATAAGCATACACACAAGATTATACAAAAAAACATACAAACAAATACATACATACATGCAAAAGTTAATTGCAAACATACAATCATTACCATAACCTTCATCTTCATCATCATAATCATCATCCCATCACCATCATCCCAGCAATGATTGAATAAATGTATGCAACCTAATTGTAACTATGTTGTTGTTGTTGTATTAGTATCCAACCAAGCGTTACAAGAACCAATTTCCTCAGTACTTAATCACCAATGTTGTTATAATAGCACCATGCATGCTCATGTGTAACTGCTCTTGTTATGTTACGTTATATATGTGTAGATGTGTGTGTGTGTGTGTGTTGTGTTGTGTGTCTGTCTGTTTGATTGACTGAAAGAAGTAAATGAAATGATGAATGAATGAAATGATAAATGAATGAAATGATAAATGAAGTCAAAACATAAAAAGTAATTATAAACCAAAACACATTAAGAATGGAAGAATAGCTACAGACCATTATCAGGTCAACTTTATCTCAAGTAGGGAGAAACAACAGTAATAAAATTTATATTATGGCCAGTCAAAGATCTTTAACGAACATTATTAATATTTGACAAAATATTGATAACTGAATAAATAATAAAACCTGCTTTAATGAACAAAAAATGTTTATGAAATGATATAAAAATGAAAAATTTATCAAACCGTACTGCTGAGTTTTTTAAAAGCATTTTGATAATAAAATGAAAAAATGATAATAAAAGTAAATAAATTGTAAGTAAATACATAATCTAATTAAAAATGCATGAAATTAATAAAATAAGAATAGGAATTAAGATTCAATTTTAAATTATTATAAGTCTAACTTTAAGATCAAAAAATATTATTAATTTATTACTAAAATCCAAAATCATGATTATGATTATACTCTGATTATGATTAAGTATACTCTCACGGTAAAACCGGAGATGGATACTCCTACTGAATTCAAAATGGGCAGAGTCAATTTATTAAAAGTACATTGGGTTTGTTTGTAAACATGGACGATACCATAGGAGTATCCATCTCCGGTTTTACCTATTCTCACTAGTAACACTAATGACTAATCAGAGTAAAGTAAAATAGTGTTAGATTTATAAAAAAATGATATCCTATTGATTTTGATTAGCCTTATTTCTCCATCTATTATGTTACATATCATACTTTATAATTGTGCATATATATAAATATAATATAACTTATTCTTATTCATTGTTATTTTTTTATCTATTAATTAAAAATGCATGAAATTAATAAAATAAGAATAGGAATTAAGATTCAATTTTAAATTATTATAAGTCTAACTTTAAGATCAAAAAATATTATTAATTTATTACTAAAATCCAAAATCATGATTATGATTATTACATAATAATCAAACAATGAAAAAATAACAAAAACAAACTTTGAATCCCTGTTCCAATCATTATTTCTTTCATAGTATTATTATCACAGCTAGTAGTTTGTTTGTGTATTTTGACGAATCGGTAGTTTTAAATTAAATTTAGTTAGTTGTTAGTAAAACATCTTTTTTAAATTTAATTTTAAACAAAAAAAAATACAAAATTAAAATAAATTAAATTAATTATTGATTCAGTAAAACATTGCAGGTAGGCGTCGTTTCAGCGTGAATTTTTTTAAAAATTAGAAATATATATTATAATAATAAAATTTTATTTTTTTTATCCAACAATCACACGAAAACAAACTTTTGAAATAAAAGTCTAACATACAACAATCAAATCGGCTTCAGCGATATTAAAAGTAATCTTATTCAAGCATAGATAAAAGATATTGATATATAATAAGATATTTTGTCAGTGCTAATCCGAGGTAAAATTTTCTGCCTTTTTTGGTTAAAATTGAATCAAACTTTAATTTAAAACTATACAATTGTACAGTTAATAATTTTATTTAAAAAATTCTCTAATTATTTAACACTCCCTCAGGGAAATTTGTTGGTTACTTAGCAACAAAATTGTTGCTTGGTAATATAAGTTTTCTTGGAAAGCTGTATACATTCATCAATAATAATAATAATTATTTGTGTAATTATAAGTTATGTGAAGATAATTTCTTTAATAATTAATGGCTCAGAGACAAATATTACAAGGCATGCTTTGGAATTTTTCGTCATTTTACAGGCAATTATCATTAACAGCTCGCATTTTAACTTATCACAAGATAGCTCTAACCATTTTTTTCTAACAAACATCTTTAATTTTTTCATTATTTTGACAAGCAGCAGTTGAACAGTATAAAAAGGCTCGCCAACAGTTTGTGCAGACAATAGCAGACCAATCATGTCAGCCACACATGATAGATATTTTGCATCAGGTGGGGGTGCTTAACCTATTGAAACCTCTTTTGATGGACTGCGTACCCAGCATCCAACAAACTGCTGCTACTGCTCTGGGCAGACTGGCAAACCACAGTGATGCCATGGCTGAAGCAATTGTCGATTGTGGCATTCTACCACAGCTCGTTTATTCACTGTCAGAACAAAATGCAAGTGAATTGTTCTTTCAATAGACAGTAATCTTTTTCTTATAAAATTTATGTTTATTTAACATATCCGTTTTGTTAATGTTTCATTTTTCAATCATCTTTATCACAAGTATTTGCAATATTTCAGAGATTTTACAAGAAGGCAGTGGCTTTCGTTTTGAGATCAGTAGCAAGACACAGTCCACGCTTAGCTCTGGCCATTGTTCAGTGTGGTGCAGTAGATGCATTGGTCATTTGCTTGGAAGAATTTGATCCTGGGGTTAAGGAATCAGCTGCCTGGGCGTTGGGAGATATTGCTAAACATAACCCAGGTTTTTAACAAAAAAATCCGTGAAATTGGTGAAATGTTTTTTGCGACTATAAAAATCGATAAAAAAGTTTCCTAAAAGTATAATGATTGCAGAGTTGGCTCAATCTGTGGTGGACGCAGGCTCAGTTCCTTTGTTGGTGACGTGTCTCCAGGAACCTGAACATGCCGTAAAAAGAGTTGCTGCCTCAGCCCTTAGTGAGATATCGAAACATTGTGTAGAACTTGCTCAGGTTGTCGTCGATGCCGGTTCCATCTGCCTTCTCGTTCGACTTATACCATGTCCTGAAACTAAAGTTAAGGTAGATAATCATTTTCATTAAATTCAACCTTTACGTTTATTACAATTTTAAAAACTTTGTCAGCGACAAGTTTATTCGGCTCTGGGCCAAATAGCGAAGCACAACATCGATTTGGCGGAGATGGTCGTCGATGCGGAAGTTTTCCCATACGTGCTGCACAGTTTAAAAGACCCCGATGATATTGTGAAGAAAAATGCCGCAACGTTGGTCAGAGAAGTGAGCAAGCACTCGTCAGAAGTAAACAAAATTCATTTTTTAACTATAGATAACGATTGCACAAATAATGAATGCTCATTATTGACGTACAAATTATTGACGTACAAATTATTGACGTACAAATAATGCACAAATATTGAATGCTTATTATTGACGCTAGTAGCAGATATTTAAATTATTTTTTCAGTTGGCTCAGCTGGTCGTGAACGCCGGCGGATTGGGCGCTGTGGTTGAATACATGGGATGTACTAGAGGCAATATAAGGCTGCCTGGCGTCATGATGCTTGGTTACGTTGCCGCACATTCCGAAAATCTGGCCATGACGGTCATCGTTAGTAAGGTGAAGTAATAACAATTATTTTCACGTTCATTCAAATTCAATCTACCTAATTTACCGTTGTTTCGACGACGAAAATATTTCTGAAATGTGTTTCACAATGTAAATAATATATCAGCTCAGTTTTTAATCATCTCCAAATGCACTCGAACAGGGCGTCGTGATGTTGGGCTGTGTTCTGTGTGATGAATGCGAAGATTACATGTTAGCTGCGGCCGCCTGGTCTCTCGGACAGATAGGAAGACACACGCCAGAACACGCGAAAGCCGTAGCGATGGCAAACGTTCTACCGAGGCTGCTGCAACTCTACATTACCGAAAGTTACTCGGAGGACTTGAAAATAAAAGTTAGCTGCATAAATTTTCATGGCGCTGAAATTTTTTCACTAAATAATCTAGCTGTAATAAATAATTGCCAATGGTCAATATTTAATATTAAATAATTTTCACCAGGCTAAAAACGCACTCAAGAGCGTAATTACAAAATGTACACTACTATGTGCCCTGGAACCACTATTCCAAGAAGCCCCTGAGAACATAATGAAACATATTTTGGGCCAGTTCAGCAAAGTTTTGCCTCATGATTCACAGGCCAGAAAAGATTTTGTTACCTCGGGAGGTTTGAAAAAAATTCAAGAAATAAAAGCTGAACCAGGCAGTGCAATGGCTGAATATATAACGGTTATAAATAATTGCTACCCCGAGGAAATTATCAGGTATGATTTTTTAAGATTTCCACTTTATAACGTGTGGCAGGAATCACGATAAATTATTTTAGCATATATTAGTTGTATGTTTCTTTTTGTTAACAATTTTAAACTTGTTATTTTTTGCAAATTTTCGTCTTTTGCAGATATTATTCTCCTGGCTACCCCGAATCTCTTCTAGAGAAATTAAATATTTAATTTTTTCATGTCAATGAATTTTCCGCAATAGGTACATATATAATCTTTTAACATTTTAAATTAAAATTTTCACGCAGCACGTTGTTCATTCAATAAAACTGTTGAATAGCTTTACATTTTCTTTAAATACTTTAAAAAATGTTTCAATTAATATAGTAACAATAGACGTATTGAAAATCATTGGGACACAAATGCTATGAAAATTAAAATGAAGGTCGATGATTGGGAGAAGTTATAATTGATCGACAGTATCAAAGATATCGTGAACGTTGGGTTTAGCTTCTAAATATTTGTTGATGTTCTTAATTGTTTCCGATCGTTCATTAATCGCTTCCAATTTTATTTCAAATAACTGACGTGTGAATGACATCAGATAAAGGTCTGGTAAACTGTCTGAATGACTTTTTTTTGTTGAATTCAGTAAAGTTTTTAAATCTTTAATCATAATTTCTATTTGATCAAAGACCGTTTGCTGGCCGAAGAAGTTGTCGTATCCGTTTTGCTGATCATTGAACCACATAATGAAAACTTTTTGGGTCCCAGTGGCCTCCATCGTGCAGTGTTCGTAGATTATCTTAAATGCTCTGTGCGCGCTTTCGTTCAACTTTATTCGATCGTATTTTAAGATCTGTTTGTCATTGTGGGTCAGGTTTTTATCTTTCTCATCCAAAAATTTCTTATACGTCAGCATTGTTTGTTCAACGCATTCATTTATTGTCCCGTTGCATTGTTTGGTCTTGCAGTTAACGATGGAGTCAGTGTAAAAGCGGCTTTTATTTGTTGTTATAACTGTCGTAATGTTTAATATATCTCTCTTCAAACTTTTCAATTTTTTTTCAACTAAGTGAAACTGTTCGTTAACGTTGAAGTCATTCAAGTTCAATTTTATTCTATTCTTGTCGAGGAGATGGAATTTGAAATATAAAAGATCATATTTTTCTAACGCTAACGATTTGAAAGCACACATTGTTTTGTACAATATTTCTTTGCATCTTTCTAGATCAGAATGCAGCCTGAGGCATAGGATTGCAAAGGAGGAATATTTGCGTGCGATTTCAATGTTCATCTCCATGTCACAATCCGTTGTCGTCTTTGCCAGTTGAAGGAGAGACGAATGAATGGATTTCATTTCGGCGATCAACAAATTGGGAAACTTCAATTCTTGTTTCTTAGTTACCATCACAATCGGATCGTTCATTAAAGTTCCGTGCGAGAAATTAAACGTTGACGAGTCACTTAAAATATTTCGATTGTACACTAAAACAGTATTTTTATTGCATTTCTCTTTGAGTTTTAGGTCGAGCACACTGCTGTTGCTTAAATATCGTGATGCCACTAGATAGTCGTTCACATTAAATACTTCAAACTTTTGGCCAACAAACTCCAATCTGTGCGATTCTTTCAGAGGCAGAGAGTTTCCAGGTTTGAAACAGTTGCTTATGAATTGCTGGTAGGTCAGCTGCAGTTGAAATGAAATTCGACAGGTGATTAAAAACGTGTTCGACCATTCGAAGGGATGGTTCTGGTGTTTCTTCACGACATGAAGATCGTTCGATTTTCGTTGTTTCAACAGCTCAGTCACCTTACCTAGGCTGGAATCTAATTCAAAAAATGGTGATTTTCCGTTAATGGCATGGCACATCAAACAGCCCAAGCTCCATAACAAGATGGAAACATTTTTCAACTGAGTTTTAACCGTGGATGTGAAATACATGTCGTCTTTGAAATGTTTGAAATAATAATCTGATACTTTGAATTGTAGGCTACCATTCTTCTTTTTCGAGCATAAAATTGTTGTAGTTTTCAAATGAAAGTTTGAAGGTATTAATTTTTTTTCGTGCAAATGATGTAATCCTTCAATTACATCATTGCCTAATGCTAGCAAGGACTCTTCATCTAATCCAAAATAATTATCAGGTATTGACAAGACATCCTGCAAACTATTTTCACTGCAGAACTCAACAATTAGAATATCTTTAAAAGATTTTGTATCTTTGGTGAGTTCAACCACCTTCAAAATATTTTTGTGGTTTAATTCTAATAATTGGTTTCTATCCACCAAATCATATTTCAAATCTTTTGAAACGAATTCCTCACCAGATTTTTTGTGTCTGCATTTGTAGGAAGGACCATTGAAGCCATCCCCAAGTTTCAGATCAGTAAACCACACAAAATTCTCACTCCCTCTCACTTTCATGGTCATTGATAAATTATCCACTTTGTCTTTTTGTTGGCCTTCAAAACGATAGGAAATATAACATATGATGATATAGATGATATAGTACAGATAATATTATATATATATAATTCGTATTGGAGACTTCCTTTTTGAGTTATTCTAAAATTTAGTTCTATATAATAATATATTATATACTAAGTATATATAATTTATAATATTATAATATATATATTATTATATATAATATATATTTTATAAATAGATTCTAATTAGACTAGTAACACTGCCAAGTCAAGCCTTTTAGTTACTTTATTTTATACTCTTTAATTTAATTAATTAAAATTTAGGTGTGCAAGGAACACAGACTGTTTAAGAAACGTTCAAAAAATTTTAACTTTCATTTGTTTTACAATATAATTATATATTAATTAAATCGTTATGACACGACGACAGAATGATAAGATGCTTAACAAAACTAAAAGTACAGTAAATTGTCTAAATTCCTAATTTTATACTAAATACCGTAAAGACCCAAAAGGGATGGTTACAATAACAAAACGCCAGCTTGGTCTTTCAACTGCTTAGAAACTGCGCTATTTTTGAATGATTTTTTAATATTGGAATTTCCAGATTTTGCAAATACGATAGATGAATTGCATTCACCGTTTAACATACTTTTATATAAACTTTTACAAATAAATTTAATAAATTAAAAATAAACACATTTTAATAATTACAAAAATAAAAAATTAAATATATTTATTTTATTAACTAATAAAAAAAAACTGAAAAAATTTGTTTTTAAAAAGTTCTTCGTTAACAACCAAGTATTTGAGAAAATTTAAGTATCATGGCTGACAACCAACATCATAAATTGTAAACAAAACAAAACTAATGTAGCAAATTTTAATTAACATCACCTAATTTTATTATTTTTCATTTTTTTCAAATTAATGCATTTATATTATTTAATTCTATTTTTGCAATTTTCAATTGTTCAGTAAAATAAAAGTTTATTTTTGGAATTTTCAACAAAAATTCAATCAGAACAATACAATTACAATACAATTGAATACATACACAATACAATAATAAACAATGGACAATAACAAAACGCCGGCATCATCGTCCAACTTTCCGTCTCGTTCGACTACAAGCAGTTTATTACACAATTGTTTAGCGGAACTTAATTTAGGTAAGTTCTACAATAACTTTGTCAGTGCAGGAATAACAACATGCGAAAAATTAGCATCTGTCTCAATGGTAGATTTCCCTACCTACTCCGTGATGACAATGACGGATAGGTTGCGGTTGTTTCGATTGATTGAGATAATCAAATCAATCATGCAGAAAAACAACTCCATATCTTCGCCCACCAAGGCTCTCAACCATTTAAAAAACAATCCTCTAAAGAGAGTGATGTCTGATGAACAAGTTAAACAGCAGCCTCTCTCTGAGCTCTTTGATAAAATATTTTTAAAAGATGATAAAAGTAATTCCTTACTTTCGGGGAATAAAAATAAGTCAGACTCCCAAAAAATTGAAAGGGTGGATAGTGCTCGTCGATCAATGTCTTCAAACAGCATTAACTGTTACATACCATCAGGCGAAAGAACAACGAAGCCTAATAAAAACACAGCCTCTACTGATGATAGCAGGATAGTTGGATCTGAAAAACCGGACCTGTTTTCTATAGAAGCCATTCGATTGTTCAACAAAAAGTCATTACAGTTAAATAGTGTTGACAGCAATATTCTCAAGCCAGTAGCCATTAAGATGACCACTGTGAAACAATCTCTTGAATGTAACAGCTGTTCACATGCTGACCATGATACACAAAGTAAATTTTCCTCTGAGAATGTAGCTGTCAAAAGTCCATCTTATTCTAAATTGTACCAAGAAACTAGCAACCAGCCAAAAGAAAAACAGAATGTTTTGTTGAAGGAAACAGTTTACAATCGTGGTTACAACTATGGGGTTCCTAACATTACCAATCCTGAATTAAGTAACTATTTTTACAAATGATTCATTTAAATGTTTTTTTCATATCAATTTAATTTACTGTGCCTTCATATAAAATTAAATTTAAAATGCACTTTCACTAATTTGAAAAAAACAATTGTTTTATTTTTCAACCACGACAGTGAAGTTAGACGCAATGAAGCCACAGCATAATTTCTCAACCTCTGATCGAATACGTGTTTGCATTCGAAAGCGACCGAGAAACGACAAAGAAGTCAAATCAAATGACCCGGACATTGTCTGCATCACAAATAGTTGCACAGTAACTGTGAAGGAGCAGAAAATGTCACTGGATCTAAGCAGGTATATACATCAGGTAAGGCTGCCTAGACATTATAATATGTTGATTTATGTTGTGCTAATTTTCTAGGCCTATGCACGACAATATATCGATGTGTGATATGTTAGCTTCTTGGTCTATACAATACATCATGTTAATTTTTAGGCCTATACATTATAATGTGCTAATTTGTTGGTCTATATACATTATAATATGCTAATTAGCGACTAAACTAACAAAAAAGTGATAAAAATAAACAACACAAACACCAATAAAAAAAAACGAAAAACTCATACAGCATGTGATGCATTTTGACGAAGTCTTCGATGACTCTAGTTCAAATGCAGATGTATATGGCAGAACAGTTAAACCACTTGTAGAGTTTATTCTGAATAAGTTAGATTTAACCTTTTCATTATAATTCTGATTATGAGAATTATAATTATTTATAATATTATTTTAATAATTATGTTAATAATCGTAATAATTTTTGTAAGAGGTGTAGCTGTCTGTTTTTCATTTGGTCAGACTGGTGCCGGCAAGACTTACACAATGATTGGAGACAAGTTTACTATGGGTGGGCTATTAATTATAATTATTATAATTATAATTATGCTATAATTACGTGGTAATAATAACAATAATAATTATAGAAGTTAAACAATGTCACACCAGGTTTGTATTTGCTGGCAGCAAAAGATTTGTATGCACACATTGAGAATAATTCAACTATGACATCATCAGCAACAGCAGCTGCAACAGTAGCTTCAGCAACGGCAGCTGCAACAACATCGTCAGCAACAGCAGCAGCTGCAGCTGCAACAGCAGACAACAAAAACGTTAATGATGAAAACTTAGGTTTGTGGGTGAGCTTTTACGAGATTTACTGTGGACAGCTGTTTGATCTACTTAATGATAGAAAAAAGTTAGTTGATTGATTGATTGATTTATTGATTGATTGACTGGTTTATATATTGATTGGCTGGTTGATTGTTTAATTAGCTTTTGGCTGATTAGCTATCTTAGTTATCTGGATTGGTTTGTTCATTGATAGAAAATTTATAAATCAATGTTTATTAATTTTGGTATTGTTTAATGAACATTTAGTGAAACATATGTAATAAAAATTCATTTTATTAATGACTTGTTATCGATAAATAAAATCATCATAATTGAAAGGTTGATAGTGATGGAGAAACACAACAAGCAAGTCTGTATAACGGGCCTGATGGAGACCTACGTTAAGGATTTAAATGCATTGATTCAAGTATTTGTTGTTGTTGCATACATACACGCACTTACACATACACATACATACACACAAACACGCACACATACATACACATTAACGTGCATAAACACACATACATACACGCAAACACATACAGGCCATAAACTACGGTCGATCAAATAGAAGCAGAGGTTGCTCAGGAGTTAATCCGGTATCCTCCAGATCCCATGCCGTCTTGCAGTTTGACGTCAGGTGCAAGGATTCTAATAGAAGGATTGGAAGGTTGTTGTGGAGGGATGTGTTGTGGCTTGTTGTGGTTTGGTGTGGCTTGTTGTGGCTTGGTGTGGCATGTTGTGGTGTGTTATGGCGTCCATTTTTGCTAACTTGAACGTTGTCACACCACACGCGCACCCAATGTTATTTTTATGTTTTAATGTTATTTAATGTTATAACGTGTTATACGCGCATATTCACAACCTTTATTTAATTTTTATTTGTCCTTTGTTGACCCCAGATTGACTTTCATCGACCTCGCCGGCAGCGAGAGAGCATCGGACGCCATGATGTGCAGCAAGCAGACAAGACAGGAAGGTGCTGAAATTAATCAAAGTCTTCTTGCTGTTAGTTCAATTCTTGAGTAGGTATACACGCACACACACACACACACGCTCACACACACGCATACACGCACGCACACAAAAGCGTACACGCAAACATCTTTATTATCATCGTAGTTGAAGGAGTGTATAAGATGTCTGGACCAGGAACAGCCGTACAAGCCATACAGACAGAGCAAACTGACTCACATCTTGAGAGAATCCTTCACTGATAATTGTAGAACCGTCATGATAGCTAACATATCGCCGACGCAAAGTGCTTGTGAGAATACTATGAACACGCTGAGATACGCCGATAGGTGTGTGTTCGTGTGTGTATGCGTTTCTGTGCTCTGTGTTGTACCTGTGTGTTTTTATCTTTTTTATCTTTGTATAATGTTTATTTGCTATAAAATTTCTTCATGATGCGATGTGTGGATTTCCAGAGCAGTTTTTCAAATTATGATAGAAGTAAATTATTTAAGTTCTGCTAACTTTTGCTTTTTGAAAATAAGAACCAAATCCAAACAAAATCACAAACAAACGGTTCTCACATTCTCGTCAGAGTGCAAGAACTGAAGAAGGAGCGGCCGAAAACAGTGATCAACGGCGCGAGAGATACGTCTGCAGGTGGCGTCGGTCAGCATCACCAGCTCAGCAACTTCCTAAAACTGAGTCACGTACAGGAAAGAGAAACAGACGCCAAACAGGTTAATTGCGCCCACACACCTCTGAACAAGTCAACTCCTAACAACTTGGCCACTAAGTTCTACAAACCGAAATTAATTCAGATCTCTGAATCTAACCAGCTAGATAAGAGGCAGAACAAATTGAAAATAAAAATTGCGAATGATTACTACATTGGCCAGCAGCCAAGAAGCTCCACTCCAAACGACAAACGCCAACCAATCACACCGCCACCTCACTCGCCCGTGCCCTTCTCGAAGAAAAGATTATTCAACAGGTCACCGGATATTTTAAAGTTGGTCAATTGGAATAGTGGCGCTGAAAAAGGTGGTTCGCGAAATTCGTTGCCGGGTCGGGACAATGCTACGTCCTCTATGAAGGACAGTGAGATGCATCACAGTGCCCACAACATCAAGTCAACATCCTCCTCGCTCATCAACAAGCAAAACAAGTTGAACATCAGCAGGTTCATCAAACATTCCGGAGATTCAAAAGCCGCTGCCTTCTTTAATAATTTGAAACAACAGATCAAAAGTCATCAGCATCGACAACAACACCAGCAACAGCAGTTACAACAACGTCAACAACAACAACAACAACAGCGTCAACAACTACAACAGCAGCAACTGAAGCAGCAAGGTAACAAATGTTTCATGGTAGCAAAGAATCGACTTTTCAAAGAATCATCCACGAAAAGCAAAATTTTCAAAACTAGTACAAACAATACTCACAAGACAACTGCACAGCAAAGCAGCGAACGGCAAGGACAGGCGTTCAGCAAGTCCGAACTATCATCGCCAACTAAATCAAACGATTCGAGCAAGACGCTAATAAACGAATCACTGTTTAAAACGTTTTCATCCATACGGCCTCTAAATTACATTTACCAGGAACAACAGCAGCAGCAACAGCAGCAGCAACAACAACAAAAGCTACAGCAGCAGCAACAACAGCAACAGAACGAGATAATTGAACGAATGCAAGACACTCCAGATATTAATTTTAAGATTTCAAACAGTTCAACACCACCATTCAAAACAGCGCGCCAACCCAACGCGACGACGATGGAGTTCTCACAAGGAAGCGACATGAACAACCACATCTCCAAATGTCTCTCCTTCTCCAGCGTGTTCGTGGATGAACAGAATTCAAACACTCCGACAGCTAACGAGTTGAAAAACTGGCCCCGCAGATGTCAGTCCATCGAGACGAGCAGCAATATTGGGAGTGAAGTGAAAAATTTGCTGAGTGAAGGAGAGCAGCAGAGGTTGCTGATGCAACAACAACATGAAAGGAGGAGGCAGATTCTGTCTGAGTACGAAACCTTCATTGTTGATTCAAAACAACAACTCTATAAGAAAGAACAACAACGGCCGCTACAACAGAAACAACAACATCCACAGCAGCAACAACAACCACAACAGCAGCCACAACAGCAGCAACTACGACAGCAACGGCAACAACAACAACATTTAATGGAACCAAAACAGCTAACGCAGCAACCACAGAATGAACAACTCGTGCAACAAAAACAATTATTGCAGCAACAACAGCTTCACTTGCAACACCAACAACAGCAGTTCAGATATTACAAACAGCTGCACCAACAACATAAACTACAACAGCAGCAGCAACAATTTAAACTGCAACTTCAGCAACAGCAGCCCCAACAGCCACAGCAACAACAAACAACTAACCAACAGTTAATTGCAAAAGTTCTCAATCTCAATGGCACAAATAATGATCAGGACAGTTTAGAGAAATTGTTTCACCGTCGCGAGATTCTACAAGTTCACATCGGGGCCACCCAAAATCAAAACCAGGTCACTCAAAATCAAAACCAGGTCACGCAAAATCAAAACCAGGTCACGCAAAACCAAATGCAGGTCACGCAAAATCAAAACCAGGTCACGCAAAATCGAAACCAGGTCACCCAAAATCAAAATCGAGTCCCTCAAAGTCGAAACCAGCTGGCGCAAGTTCACAATTTAAGCAGCGATGACTTGACCGACGAGACGGTGTTCACATCATTTGATTCCATCTCGACGATAACTGATGACCAGACATCTCTGACGCACCTGCCTAACAATGAGTACTTATTTGTTTATGTCTCTTTTCGTCTGCTGATGCGAGTTATGTCTTGCTCCTCAGTTTTGCAATGTATCGTGGAAACTTAGATTGAATGATTTGCCGAAAAAATTGCAAAAATTTTGAGCAAGTCACTTGTTTAATATTATGAATACATTCATGTGGCTGGTTACTGTTAATACATGTTTGTTACAATACTTGAATGTTATTAATGCACCATTCAATCAATCATTTATTCAAAGTCAATCATCAATCAACCAGCCAGTCAAACTGTCAATCGATTAATCAATCAGTCAGTAAACCAACCAACAAACCAATCAATCAACCAATGAATCAAACGTGATTGACATGACAGAAATAGATTAGTGACCGCCCATGAGATGCATTTGAATTCAGTAACACAGCTATGTAGAGAAGAAATTGATCTGCTGATGAAACTCAGAACCGGACAGCTGGTTAATCAGCTGGCTGTTTGATCGATTAGTTGATTGATTTGGTTGACTGGTTGGTTGATTGAGTTGATTGCTAGATTGATTGAATAACCTTTGGTTAGTTTAGTCAAAATGAACAAACAAATGAGCAAACGAACGAAGGAATGAATGACTGAGAGAAAAAAATAGACAAACGAATGAATGAACGAATGAACGAATAAATTTTATACCACATTCAGCCATTCGACAAATACGTCATGAGGATACGGGCAATCCTGGCGACGAAGAAGAAAATATCAGACGCCCTGATACGCCACATTGGACAATTGGAAAACAGACATAGCAGTCTCAATTAATTAACCGATTAACTAATTAACCATTTAACTAATTAGCTAATTAGCCAACGAACCGACTAACGATTAACCGACTTAAGCGATTAATCAATTGACCGGTCAATTGATTAATCGGTTATATATTAATAATTGTATATTAATATATAATATATATATAAATTAATTAATATATAATTAATATATATGTATATTAACATAACATAAATATATAATTATATATTAATATATATATTAATCGGTCAATTATTCTTATTGAGTATTTGTTTTTTATTGTATAAACGATTTTTTAATAATTGTAATGGGTATTATTAGTCGATGGATATTATCTACAAACACACATACCCCATACACACACAGGCACACACACGCACACACACACGCACACAAACACATAAATACACACACGCACACAAACACACACAGCTAGCACGTTAGATGAAAAAACGAATGCGTGTTATACTCGTTTTGGTATTTTTATACTGTATTTAAATTTAAAATATATGAAAAAATAAACAGAGTCGGAAAAGAGATGAGACAATAATTACAATTGAGAAACAGAAAAAAAAATTATTATTCACGCATAATAAATACGCGTTGTTATATATGGTGTCTAATTATGGATTCATAATTTAGAGTAAAATCTAACTTCCTCGTTCGCTCTATTCTAGAAAATTCTCAGTCGTTATTTCTATTGATGTTAAAAATATTGGTCTAGAATAAAAATATAAAACACACACACACACACACATACATGCGTATAATAAACAACAAAATCAACGACATATTTACTTGAAGTTGATAGCGGTATAGCAGCAGTAGGGAAAAATATAAAAAATGAAGATTGAAATGATTATAATAATATTAATAGTAACAATAGCAATAATAATAATAACAATAATAATAGGAATAATAATAATAATGAATGCAGTGTCTTCGTGCAGATATTGATTAGTACGTTTAATATTACAGCACCGTACGTTAACAGAACAGGATCACTAAAATGAATGAATGAATGAATGAATGGATGAATGAATGGATGAATGAATGAATAAATGAGTGAATGAGCGAGTGGAAAAATGAGTAAATGAATGAATGAGTAAATTAACGGATGAATAAATGAATGAACAAACGAACCAGTGAATGAACTAACGGATAAACTGAAGAAATAGTTAGAATAGCGGATGATTGAGTGCATTATTGAAAGAAGAATGAATAAATGATTAACGAATGAATAAACGAACAATTGGATGAATGAACGACTATATCCACGAATTATAAATTAAAAATATAAAAATTTCATTTTTACGGAGAGTTCACAGGAAATGTAGAAAAATTATGAAACAAATTTTTGCAAATCACAGCACGTATGTAAGATAAAAAAAATCTCTCTCTCTCTCTCTCTCTCTCTCCATATACATTCTCATTAATCGAGTGTCACAGACGTAGAACATGAATGAATGAGTGAATAAAAGAGAAAAAAAAAATGTTTTTTTTTATTCATTTATCGAATGACTAAGAGAAAGAAAGAAATGCAAAAAAACACATGACAATGAAAAATAAGTTAGTGAATAGATGGACAAATGATTGATTGATTGAATGGATGAATGAGTGAATGAATGAATAAATGAATGAATGAATGAATGAATAAACCAATGAATGGATGATTGAAGGAATGAATAAATAAATAAATTAATTAATTAGTTAATTAAACCACATTTTACACATTTTCATATTTAGAATAGTTAACAAAGAAATAACCACACAAACACACACATGAATATAAAACAGACGATGATTCAAAAGACGGAACATTTGTTTGCTCACAATCGAATTCGTGTAAAATATTTTTAAAACTTTAACGAACAGAGTAAAATGACAAAATGTTCACGATACAAGAAAATATAGTCATTATCATGATCAAGTCGTCATCGTCATTATCATTCTTATCATCACCATCATTACGTCATCATACTCATCCCTGTGACGTCATCATCCCTACATCATACCAGAAGTTGGGATGCTGACTCTGATGTTTCTCGGTTCCATCTCGAGTGAAAATTTAAATGTCTGGTCGTCATCTATAAGACGACTTGAATCTAACAAATAATCTGCAACCTAAGATGACGACGACGACGATGACGATAATGGTTGTGATGATGATTGATGCTACTGATGTGATGATTTATGATGATGATGGTTTATGATGATGATGATGATGATTTATAATAACGATGATGACTGATAACTATAGAATTAGAAAAATTATCGACTTTTTAAAATCCAAAATAGAAGAAATAAAAGTTCTACCACTAACTCTTCGCTGAAACTCAATCTTGTACGGCGTCTGTTGGAACGTTTTTATCTCTTGAATTACGTGGGCAATCTTAATTTTGAAAATTGAAAAAAATTATGAAAAATACGAAAAAAAATTAGAAAAACGAATTAAAAAACAAAAGCTAATTTGATAAAAAATTCATGAAGAAATCGAAAAAAAGTGAAAGTGAAAAAAAACAAAATAAAACTAAGCAAAACGCAAAAAACAGAACGCAAAAACATAATCTACCATCCTCATTTTCGAGAAGTTAACCAATCCGTTTTCGGTAACATTTGGCGTGCCCTCCTCGATGAACGACAGATCCGTGAGGTAAATTCCCAAATAAGGAATACACGGCGGATCGCACCTATAGTTTCATAATATATTTATATCACGCCATAATTTTATAATTATTTCAAAATTATGAAAAAATTATAATAGTAAATGATAAAATACCTATGGAGTGCTTCACGCATATTTTTAAACCTGCCATCTGCCGAGACTAAACTCTGCAACTTGTCAATCATCTGCCTCGTCTGATGGGTTGGAGATTCCATATTCAGGTCAATTATTCATTATTTAGGTTAATTATTCATAAGAATTATAAAATTCATTTAACGAAATTTATTGGCAATATAATGAGCAGTAAGACAACAAAACACTACACAATATAACTCTTAACGATAAAAACGATGCTAAAACGAAACTAAAACGATACGATACGATACGATACAGAATACCTGTTTAGGTAACTTATCCCACGTCTTCTTCAGCCGGTAGATGGAACTGTTGACGAAAGCGGCACATACCTGAAGAACCCCGTTGAAATTGTTGATGCATCTGAGTGAGTGAGTGAGTGAGTACGATGATGACTGTGATGACGATGATGAAAATGAATGATAATGACATAAATAAAATGATGAATATAATGATGAAGATAAAATGAAATTGGTGAACAAGTGAAAACAACAATTTTTATGTATAAACAATCTATATGTTAACGTGAACCACATCATCAATCAACAGCAGCAGTAGCAGCAGTAGTAGCAGCAGTAGCGGCAGCAACCACAACCTGCATATGTCGGCGATGGCGGCCCACTTTTCGATGCAAGCAACTCTTTCATTGATCGTCTGCCTCCTTATTATTTCCGATACGACCAGCCTACTCGCCTGCTCGTTTGAAATGATATCAATAATTTATTTTTAAATATAACAACATCTACTAGAACTACTGCTGCTGCTACTACAATTTTTATTACAGCTATTACTACTATTACTACTAATAATAATAATAAAATAATAATTATGAAGTTATAAAAGTAAAAATGAAACCAGCCTCATTAAATCTCTTGCTAACGAGAAGAACGTGTTGAGCTTTGCACGATTTTTCAGGTTTCATCCAAGCTTGGCCTAAAAGCTCCCTACCAACAGATGACTTTCATAAATATTTCACAATTAAACTTTATAATTATCACTTTAACTATTTTACGATACACCGTCACAAAAATTACATTGTAATAATACGAAGGAGTTAGAACGGTACGAACTCAACGTTGATAGCTGAGAATATTTTGTGGTCGATGTATGTCATCTGCTCGGCGATGTCCAGGGCAGCCAGTGACTCCAGGGAATCGTCTGATATCATCTTTGTTGCCATTTTTTCATTCATTCATTTATTATTATTATTATCATTATCATCATTTATTAGTATCATCATTTATTTTATTATTACCCTTGCTTTAAAGATAATACAGGCAAGACATTAAGTTCCTATGCCAAATTCGCAGAAACACACAAATAAACAGACAGACAGACAGACAAACAGACAGAGAGACAGTCAGAGACAAGCAAACAGACCGTCGGTGGAGTGAGTATTTTTTGTAACATCTCTTCAGATTCGGCCAGTGACGTATCGGCTTTGTTGAGCGCTAACGAAACGACGTTTGCAGCTTTGTATTCGACCGGTAGTAAGGTTGGGTCACCTAACATCTCCTCCAACAAGTCGTTCACGTTGTCTTTTAATTCCTTGTCCATGTCAAAATCCTGCCAGCGTCAAACGAAAATTGTGAATTTTTAAGCGAAAATTGCAAAATTTTAGAAATTTCATTCCAATGTTTGTGAAAAATAATGATAATAAAAAACTAATTATATAATTATTATTATCATTTGGTAAGCGACGTTGCTATCATTATAATCACCATCATCATTACGATGTCACCACCATCATCATTATCATCACCACCATCATCATGACGTCATAATAGCCATTACAACCTGACAGTGTTTAGTGACCCAATGTCTGAGGACGTTGAGGACCCGCATAGTTGCAAACGTGCTGATCACTGATTCTCTCTTCTTACTCGCCATGAACTGCTTCAATTCTTGAACAGCTGATCGAATGAACGACTCGATCAACACACCAGCAATCAATTAAAAAATCAACCAACTAATCGGTTAATCAACCAACTAACTGATCAATCAAATTTAAATTTTATAAATGTAATAATAAATTTAAGAGCACATAAGAACAAAATCAGCGAGCAAACATTTAGCGGAGTGTTTTCCAGAACCGGCCGTAGCAGCAGCGAATGCAACAGCGGCCGCGCTTGAACTGGATCTGAATAAAAACGAAAAAACTTTTGTTTAAATTCGAATTTTTTTTACAAACAGTACAACTTTTCTTGTTAAAAATAATCTTAATAACACATTATTCAACGCTTCTAAATTATGACAATTACAATTACAAAGACAATTTAACCCTTTGACACAACCTTCTCTTAGAAGCCCTTGATGACGTCACCACAATACCGGCCCTGGTGGCAGGGGCCAGACATTCAGAAACTGTGGCACAACTGCTACGTGGACTCAAGCATTGCATCTGATCTTGATCGTATAAACTGTATTTGCCTATGTTTCAGCGTCGTTCGATCATATTGAGATGCAGTGTTCGTTGTATTTGAGTTATAAGATAATATAAAGTCACTAATTTTTTATTTTCATCAATTATTATAGTATTAAATTATAAAAATTTAAAAACTCTAAACTAAATTACTTTAATTAAAAAATTGCTCAATCTCTGAAACAAGAGAACAAAATTTGAAGAACGTTGTACTTGTCTTGGGTTTGTAGGAGAGCGAAGCGTGATGAGCAGGTATGGTGCCCGTGAGAGAGGTGGCGCCTACAGATTGCCTGTGGTAGCCATGCTGGTGATGCAAGTGGTGGTGATGTTGCTGCTGGGGGTAGGGCATGTTTGGCATGGATTCCCTCTTGCTCTGACTACTACCACTTCGGTGCGATGACTTACGTAGAGCCCCGGAAGCTGCAGACGCAGAAGCCGATCTTGGATGTGCTGTCACTTGGAGGTGAGACGATGAACTGACCGTCGTTGTAGCAGACGCTATCTCCGATCGTGAAGATTTTCTGAAAACTGGAAAATTTCTCGATTGTCCACTTACGGAGAGTCTAGCTGAATGGTGAGCGTTCTTATGATGGTGAGATTTCTTGAAAACTGGAGGTTCGTTTTCAATTGGTGCCCTAACCCTATCAAACGGCTCTGAAATGTTTAGAGCCGAGTGTCGTCTGACTTTAATATCAGCTGGAATTTTCATGCAGAGGTTTGTAGTCGATGCTGTGGCATCTGCGTTGTTTTTGTCGCCATCGTCACTAGCGCTGCTATCTTTGCGTTGAAACAATTGAAATTTTTGTTTGCTTTTTGAGCTATTTAGTTTGTCAAAAAAAGAAAATGCAGATGATTTTTGTTGTTGTTTTTGTTGTTGTTTTTGTTGATGCACCTCGTCTGTTCCATTTAAATTTTTGAATTCATTTTCCTGAACGATTGTGATTTTTTCTTTCTTGAAATTTTCTACTTTTGCGGTACCAGGTTTAATATTGGTCAGTTCTAAGAGCTGGTTTTTGAATGATTTGAAAAATTGGCCGTGAGATTCTTCTTTGGCGTCCAAAGAAGTTTCCATCTTTATGTTATCTGTAAAATTCTCCTTCTGATCACTCCATGGGAACGATGTTGGTGACGTGGAACGCCGTCTCTTCAATCCAGCAAGTAGCATGCAGTCATTAGTTGCTGATGACAAACTATATTTTGGAAAAATAGTCGGCGAAAGTGCTAGCGCGTTAATCTGATAGTTGTAGTTGAAGTCGTTGTCGCCAGTTCTGTGGCCACCATTGAAACCGTGGACATCTTCATTAGGAACTGCAAGAGAAGCAAGTTGATGGGTGGATGCTGACAGTCTGCACTGGTTGTTTTTTATATGGTGAGACTTGGAGGCGTACAACGGAGATAGGAACATGTTCTTCTTACCGATCAGTCGGTTTCGAATCGAATCATCTCTCTTCTCGTCACTGAAGGGTCCGTCGAAACAAGTACTTTTTGTAACGACAGGGTTGTACTCAATAACCGGTGATCTGTTGGGCTTCAAACCCAGTACATCGTCATCATAAGTTGATATTTGAAGAAGAGATGGCAGCGTTAATGGCTGAGGTTTTGCCGATTTCGGTGTACCTGCTACTCGACTGGATATCATGGGAACAAACACAGAACCGTTATTTGAAGGAGATGGTACTAAAGTTGAAGATGATGATCCTTTTATTTTTTGTACCGGTTGATTCGGTATGTTAAGTTGTTGTGATATCATTTTCGATTGGATGATATTGAGCGGCTCTCTGTGGTGACATTCGTGGAGCGTTTCTTGCAACGAGGTAGAGTGTTGTTTGTTGAGCATTGTAAACTTTCTCTTTGATAGCTCATCACTTTCTTTATTATCTTCTTCATCCTCCCCATCATCAACATCATCATCTTCGTCATCAAATTTGTGGTCTTCCGATGATTCTTCCAAGATATCGTTGAACTCACTCGGCTTGCTCTTGAATTGCTGATGCAAATGAACATTTTCAAAGGTTATTACAGTAATTCCAAGGATAGTTTAATGATTTTTTCATACAACTAGTTGGCCAACAACAAAATAATGTTTAAATATACTTTAGCGTACAGACTCGTTCTTTGTTAATAAACCACCGTATAGAAACTTTATCAGATTATCTTCCATACAAGCATCGACTAACTTGCGATACGCTGTGGACCATCAGAAGGTCATTTCGATTTTGAGCGGATATGACGTCATCGCGATAATCGTCAGGTTGCAGGTCGATACTCTCGGAGAGTGTCTCAAATGATGCTATCGGGGCGAGTTTCGGAGCTTTCGGAATCAAATATGACGTCACAGTTGTCGTGGCAGGGATGGGAAGGTTTTCTTGAAAAATTGAAATTTATTTAAAAATTACTTCATTCAAAAATTATAAAATAACTTGTACCCTGATCGTCAATGTGGTGGTGTTGATGGTTGAAACCGGCCAACAACTGCTGACAGTTGCCATCGACTTTGGATGAATATTCATCTTCAAATGTGACGCCCTTTTTGGCGCCTTCACTTCGAATGCTAATTTTTCTCGATTTGTTCGATACAATACTAACACGATGTTGTTGTTGTTGATCATCGGTTTGCTGTTGTTGTTGTTGTTGATGCTGTTGTTGTTGTTGGGCAAACCAATCATAATATTGTTGTGGGTGATGTAGTTGATACTGCTGATGATGTTGCAGATGCTGCTGCTGCTGGTCTTCAAGAGCGCTGCTTGAATCCGTTGAGTCGTCGTTGTCGAATGATTGTCTGTTTATTTGTTTGTTTGTTTGTCTGTCTGTCTGTTGGGTTGTCTGCTTGTTTTTGATTGTTTGTTTGTTTGTACATGTGTTTTGTACAGTTGATAGTATCTCTCCAATTTGTTTATTGAGTATACATATATACAAAAATATTTCCATACATATTTATATAATATTAATTTTAAAATTAAATTTTATTTCCAGAATGTTTCAGTAAGATACGAGATACATTTTATCCTAACGAGATACGAGATACATTTTATCCTAACATCAAAAACGAATCCCAATTCTAACCTGTTACTTCCGTTACAACTCCTATCATTCCCACTGGAAGTTTGATGGATAGATTCGAGGTTACAGCATTCCGGATTCCGGTAGACGTTTCTTAGAGCCTCCACTATCATAGATCCGGTGGCGAATACTCGATACGTCAGCAGGAATGTGTTGAGGAAATCGATACTTAAGAACCGAAGGTCGGTTAACCGTTCGAGTAATTTATCAACCGACGCGTGTCGAATCTTGGGTGACAACCGAGGTTTTTGTATTTTAGATAATAATAATAATAGTTAGCGACAAAATACTTCACATAAATTAAGTAATCTACTTACACTCAATTACTGATGTGAATAATTAATTAACTAAGTATTAATTAATTGTGAAATTATGAAACGCTGAGTTACTATTACTACTATACATGTTACTACTAAAGATGCAATGAGTAGGGTACTTACTTGCGGAACTTTACATGAATTCAATGATTTGCTGAATTTTATATCTACTTCATCTTTGAACAGTTTTGGATCACATCTGTTATTAATTATTATTGTTACTATTGTTAATTATAACTCTAATTAATTATAACTCTAATTAATTATAACTATAGTTAATTAAAACTATAATTAATTATAATTACAGACCTCATGGATTGGGGTAACGTTACAGATGAGGAGTCACTCAGTGTACAGAAGAGCAACTCGTTGTAATGCAAATTGTCTATACACTATTTAAGATGGGAGAGAAATTAGGTAGATGCAAAATTAACTCAATTATGAAAACTACTGCTGCTACTACTGCTGCTGTTACTACTACAACTACTACTACAACTACTACTAAAATAATAATAGTAACAATAATGATAATGATAATGATAATAGTAATAATGACAGCATTAGTACAGTGATGATGAAAACGATGAGAAAAAAAATTGTCGAAATATCGGAGAGAGAAAGAGAGGGATATGGTGAAAGAAAAGGAGAAAGAGACAAAAAGAGAGAGAGAGAAAAACTGGAAAGAGAGAGAGAGAGAGAGACAAAAATGACAAAAGATGAAAATGTTGTTTGCATGAAAAGAAGATAGGCTTGCACGACATCTACTGAGGCTTTTAATTATTTATTATTAAAAACACAATAGGGAGAAAACATTTTTCTTGAAAAATATGAAAAAACAAGCAAACTAAGTAAACAGCTTGTCGAATTTTTTTAAATTTATTAGTATTTTAATTCAAAAACAAATGTACGATCTTTGGCAACCTTAAACGTCATCAACAGTCATAACGTGACAAATTTTAAAAATGAAAATATGGGAAATAAGAGGAAAGAAATAAATGAGACAAAATAAAATAAACAAAAAAAAATATTTTTTCAGAAAAAAACTCTAACAATTTTATTTACTTGAGATGTTTGTTTATAACATTTTTACCCCAACTGTCATTTCGCATGTTTTTTTCGGCACTTTGAAAAATTTTTTCTTTGAAATTTATTATATACGGTTTTAAACTTTTTAAAGAAAAAAAAATGTTCCTTCAGTAAAATGCTTTTAGTAAATAAATGCACTTTTAGTTAAGTTTGTTCATTATTTCGTATATTCTTTGTTTTCTTCGTCGCCCTAATTTATGAGGACATGTTCTTGTCTTACGGGGACAAAATTTTTTTTACCTCACGTACATACGTACACACGCACGCACGCACACATACACATAAACACATACAAATCTTTAAACACACATGGCTATACATGCGCATTCAAACACACACACACACACAATTATAAGGATCAGTTTTTAAAAAATAAAAAGTCAACAGATACGAAGTAACTAAACACACACACACACACACACACACACACACACACACACACACACACACACCACACACACACACACACACACACACACACACACACACACACACATATATATATATATATATATATTAGTTTATCTCATCAAATGGATATTTTTATACTAGATTTTACATCTAACAACTTTTTCCACTCGCTTACATGTCCTCGGGAAAAATAATTAACAAAGTTTCAGGCAATCATCCATGAAAATCCGATCCAAAATTAAATTACGTACCTACATATATACATACATACATACGTACGTACGTACATACATACATACATACATTCATACATACATACATACATTCATACATACATACATACATACATACATTCATACATACATACATACATACATACATACATACATACATACATACATACATACATACATACATACATACATACATACATACATACATACATACATACATACATACATACATTCATACATACATACATACATTCATACATACATACATACATACTACATACATACATACATACATACATACATACATACATTCATACATACATACATGCATACATACATACATACATACATACATTCATACATACATACATACATACATACATACATACATACATACATACATACATACATACATACATACATACATACATACATACATACATACATTCATACATACATACATACATACATACATACATACATACATACATACATACATACATACACGTACACTCAAATTCCAAAAAACATTGGAACTAGAAACCAATCAAAATGAACGCACTTATTTATTTTTCATCTAACAAGCAAACATCTCATAGAATGTGTCACACACGCCACAAAAACACACCCCCGACACGTCACTCAGGTACAAACACCTCTCTCCTACAAACACACATCCACTTTCACACACTTCATGACACACACACATATACACTCACACACACGCGCACACCACGGTTACACTGTAAGTTAAGATTACTTTTATTTCGTCTTCTTGTTCTCGTTAATTTTTCTTTCATTTAGCAAATAACTTTAAGGTAGATGGTGTGAAT